AACTAGAACTGAACTAGAAACTGAACTAGAACGAAACTAGAACTGAACTAGAACTGAACTAGAACTGAACTAGAACTGAACTAGAACTGAACTAGAACTGAACTAGAACTGAACTAGAACTGAACTAGAACTGAACTAGAACTGAACTAGAACTGAACTAGAACTGAACTAGAACTGAACTAGAACTGAACTAGAACTGAACTAGAACTGAACTAGAACTGAACTAGAACTGAACTAGAACTGAACTAGAACTGAACTAGAACTGAACTAGAACTGAACTAGAACTGAACTAGAACTGAACTAGAACTGAACTAGAACTGAACTAGAACTGAACTAGAACTGAACTAGAACTGAACTAGAACTGAACTAGAACTGAACTAGAACTGAACTAGAACTGAACTAGAACTGAACTAGAACTGAACTAGAACTGAACTAGAACTGAACTAGAACTGAACTAGAACTGAACTAGAACTGAACTAGAACTGAACTAGAACTGAACTAGAACTGAACTAGAACTGAACTAGAACTGAACTAGAACTGAACTTAGACACTGAACTAGAATTGAACTAGAACTTTGAACTAGAACTGAACTAGAACTGAACTTAGAACTGAACTAGAACTGAACTAGAACTGAACTAGAACTGAACTAGAACTGAACTAGAACTGACTAGAACTGAACTAGAACTGAACTAGAACTGAACTAGACTGAACTAGCACTGAATAGAACTGAACTAGAACTGAACTAGAACTGAACTAGAACTGAACTAGAACTGAACCTAGAACTGAACTAGAACTGAACTAGAACTGAACTAGAACTGAACTAGAAGCTGAACTAGAACTGAACTAGAATGAACTAGAACTGAACTAGAACAGAATTAGTACAGAACTAGAATGGACTCCAAGTCCAGATTATACAGTATACTATAGTTCATTTATTTTTAAGGTATAGTCCAGTGTATAATCCAAACGATAGTCCAGACTAAAGTGCTAACTTAAGTCGAACCAATAGTCTAAACTATAGTCCATTCTATATAAAAACCAAACTATATTCAAGTCCAAACTGTAGTGCAGACTGTAGTCCAATTTATAGTCCAGACTTAAGTCCAAAATATAGACCAGTCTAAAGTATAGTCCAATCTGTAGTGCTGACTACTGGTCTTATAATAAAAAATATATTTCAATTTATAGTCTAAACTATAGTCCAATTTATAGTCTAAACTATAGTCCAAACTGTAGTTCAGTCTATATTCCGATGTGGTTCGGTATATAGTCCAAACTATAGTCTAGACTTTAGTTCAAACTATAGTCTACCAGCAACTATAAAAGTCTCTCATTAAAACTAAAATCATGTAATTGACAGCGATTTAAGTTTTCCCTCGTCTACACAAGTTGACACTTTTTCATAAAAGTTTAACACTTTAAAAAAAAAAAAAAAAAAAACAAAGCTTTACATTTCATTTAATATTTTATCTTAAAAAACACAAGAAAAGCTAAAAAATTAACATACAAAAGACTTTCTTAATTGTTTTATCTCATTTTATAAATCAGCTTAAAGACTGAGGAAATTTTTTTATAAAAAATAACTAATGCAGTCAGTCACAAATAAATTTATGCCAAGAAAATAGTCTAACATTTAGCTTATCTGCCACATTTCTAATGAAGAAGAAATGAAAAACAATAGACGGAAAAAAAAGACAAAGAAACAAAAACAACATTGGCAAAATGTCACTTATCTGTCACGCAGCAGTAGCTGTCAAAAGTCATTTGTCATTTTTAATGACATTAGCAACAACAACAACCAACTGCAAACATAGACACACAACAACATTTCCGCTACATTAGAGGTCTGTTAGATAGTCTGAAGTCTTTAAGAAGATAAGGTGGAGTTTGAAGAAAATATTATTTAGTACAAGTACTAAATTCCTTTGTTTTGCTTTAGCAAGAGAAAAACCTCAAATGGAAAGAAAATATTTCACACTTTTTTTGTCAGCTAAATACTCACTAGAATAAATTTACATTATTTGTAAAATATGTAGAAAAAAATGTAACTAAATGAAAAACTTTTAAAAATACATAAATTGTATTGCAATTGAAATAAAAACGCAAGAGCATAAAATATTATTAAAAGGTTTTCAAAAGACATTGTTAATATTTATTTCTGTGAAAACTTTGTTTAAATATTCCTAGTTTAGTAAGAAATATGTAAAGACAGTCTGGGAAATTTTTATTTAATTATAACAGACAATATTTAATTTTCCCCCATTTTGCTTGAGAACTTCCTGTTGACTTTTCTTTAAACACAAGAATATTGTTTAAGAAGTGCATTTGGCAGTTTTTTTTCTAGAACATTTCATAGCGTGACCAGTACTTAAGGAAATTGTTAGTTACTAGCCATGAATAGTCGTCAGTTAGTTAATATAGATTATGCTGAGGTAATGTTTTTTTTCTATGCATAAAGAACAGGCAACAGGTTCACAAGCAATAGTTTATATAATGATGAAAAATTACTTAGCAGTCGGGTTATTAGAGTTTAATAATATAGGGTGGTTTATAGGGAGAGGTTTCTGATACGTTTATTTTAATTTCTTCAATGTAAATCAAACTATAGTTCAGACTATAGACAAGACTATTGTTCAAACTTTAGACTAGACCTTAGTCCATATTTTAGACTAGTATATAGTCCAGCCTATGGACTAGAATATATAGTAAATCCATACTATAGATTAGGCTATAGAGTAGACCAAATTATAGTCCTGACAGATTATTCTAAAGTTCAGATTATATATCAGTCTAGTCCAGGCTATGGATCAGTCTATTGTCCAGACTATAGATCAGTCTATAGCCTTACTCTAGATCAGTCTATAATCCGGACTCTAGATCAGTATATAATCCAGACTTTAGATTATACTATAGTCCAGGCTATAGAATAGTCTATAGTCCATGCCATAGAATCGTCTATACTCCAGGCTATAGATTACTCTATAGTCCAAACTATAATCCAGATTATAGTAGTCTTTAGTCCAGGATATAGATTAGTCTATACTATAGATAGCCTATAGTCCAGGCTATTGATTAGTCTATAGTCCAGATTACAGATTAGTCTATATGCCAGACAATAGATCAGTCTATAAACCAGATTATAGGTTAGTCTCTAGTCCAGGATATAGATAAGTCTATACTATAGATAGCCTATAGTCCAGGCTATAGATTAGTCTATAGTCCAGACTATAGATTAGTCTATAGAACGGACTATAGATTAGTCTATAAAACGGACTATAGATTAGTCTAGTCCTTACTATAGATCAGTCGTAAGTTCTGATTATAAATCAGTCTATAGTCCTGACTATAGATCAGTCTATAGTCCTGACTATAGATCAGTCTATAGTCCTGACTATAGATAAGTCTATAGTCCTGACTATAGATCAATCTATAACCTAGACTGTAGATTAGACTATAGTCCAGGCTATAGATTAGTTTATGGTCCAGGCTTTAGATAAGTCTATAGTCCAGACCATTGATTAGTCTTTAATCCAGATTATAGGTTAGTCTATAGTCCAGACTATAGATTAATCTATGGGCCAAACTATAGATTAGTCTATAGTCTAGGCTATTGATTAGTCTATAGTACATACTAAAGATTAGTCTATAGACCAGAATATAGATTAGTCTATAGTCCAGACTATAGATTAGTCTATAGTCCAGACGATAGATTAGTCTATAGGCCAGATTATAGATTAGTCTATAGGCCAGACTATAGATTAAGCTATAAGCCAGACTATAGATTAGTCTATAGGCCATACTATATATTAGTCTATAGGCCATACTATATATTAGTCTATAGGCCAGACTATAGATTAGGCTATAGACCAGACTATAGATTAGTCTATAGGCCAGACTATGGATTAGTCTATAGGCCAGACTATTTAGTCTAAACTACAATCCATACTATAGTTGGGCTTTAGACTACAGACAAAACTATAATCCAGACTTTAGATTAAACTAAATTCCAGACTACAGGCTAAACTATATACTTTAGGCTTTTGGCTAGACTTTACTCCAAACTATAATGCGGACTATAATTCGGACAATTAACTAGACTAAATCAATATTATTATCGAGAGTATATTCCAGACTCTAATTAATTAACACTTCCTTTTAAAACACCCCTTTGCAATGAAAGAACCGATGACGATTACCGTCGTCGTGTTACTTGTTAGATTCTCAGGAGAAAAAATGCACCTACATGAAAAGGAAATTATACCCAAAAGCACTGAAACGTAAAGATACAAATGATACAAGTACATACTTGTAGCTTGTAAAAACAAAATGTAAAACATATAAGACAAACAAAATTCAGACAAAGGCCAGATAGGTTCTAAAATAATAAATTTTTATTATGCAAAAAAAAAAACAATTTTAAAAATAAACGGAGACGGTTTCAGAACATTTATATGGTTGGGAAAAGTTTTAAATAAATTAATGTTTTTGCCTTTGTTTTGAAGACCATTTCTGTAGACCTTCATTGTAAAATTGATTGATTATCTTATAGTTAATTTGCCATCCAACATATATCCTCCCATATGGTCTAGTGGCTAGGATATCTGGCTTTCACCCAGAAGGCCCGGGTTCGATTCCCGGTATGGGAAGCTATTTTTTTTTATCTTTTCATACACATTAAATAATATTCTATGTTCTTTCTATTCGTGTACACAATATTTATCCCCCTTTCCAACATCCTCGATAGTATAGTGGTCAGTATCCCCGCCTGTCACGCGGGAGACCGGGGTTCAATTCCCCGTCGGGGAGATTTGTTCATTTTTTATTTTTTAATTAACAAATTATATTTAGAAATTTTTTAACAAATCGGGAAATTCCCAGAAAAAATGTTCAACAAAAGTAATAAATTCGTCATTGTACAAAAAATCAAAATCCAGGGAAAACTCCTATTTTCATATGTATTTTTGCTATAAATACAATAACTTTGGTATAAATTCAATATCAGTTTTATTTAAACCCAAAGAAGTGCGTGGAACTGTATTCACAAAGTGAAAAAATGAAATTCATCAATTTCTTCGTTATAGCCTTAATGGCTTACGCCAATTGCGCTTGGGCCAAGACTTTTACACGCTGTTCCTTGGCAAGAGCTATGTACGCTCTAGGTGTACCGAAATCGGAACTAGCACGTTGGACCTGTATTGCTAAATATGAATCACATTATCGCACCCACGTTGTAGGACCTGCCAACACGGATGGTTCTCATGACTATGGCATTTTTCAAATCAACGATCGTTATTGGTGTAAACCCAGCAATGGTCGTTCTTCTCACAATGGCTGTAATGTCTATTGTGATGATCTGTTGGAAGACGATATCAGTGAATCTGTTTATTGTGCTCAACATGTTAAGTCAAAACAGGGTTGGTCTGCCTGGACTACTTGGGCAAAATGTAATGGTAACTTGCCAAGTATTGATGAATGTTTTTAAGACCGTAAAGGCAAAAACCTTGTTAAAACGTTAAAAATGTTAAATAAATTTTAAGAAAAATGTATTCAAAGAAATTCTTTTAATAAATCTATGCAAATTTAAACATTTCAAACTTTTCAACTATTTTATTGAATTGCATAGGAAAGCTTTTAAATATATCATTATAATATAACTTAGTCCATTTTTTTATTAAAATTATTACAAATTTATATTTTGCTATTTCTTTTATCCATAATTATCTTTGTATGTGTTTCCTTTGTTTTTTTTTTTTATTTAAAAGATAAGAGTTCAATATCAGAAACGGTAGCGCTCTTTTACTATAATTTATTCACACTATTATTATAAAAAACATAATTATTAACTCTATGAATGCACATCTTAAACTAGAATAGAGATTCCCAATCAGTTGCCCTCTGAAGCTGAGAAAGAGTTAAGTTTTGAAAGCTTTTCCTAATAACTATAGTTGGTCTCTGACATTGGATTGATAGAGACTCTAATCTGATATAGTTTGGACTATAGTCTAGCCTATAGTGTAGCCTATAGTCAGGACTATAGCCTAGTCTATAGTCTACTGTATAGTCTGGGCTATAGTATAGTCTAGACTATATTCTATTCTATAATCTGGACTATATTCTAGTCTATAATTTGAACTATATTTTAGTCTATAGTCTAGTTTATTGTCTAGCCTATAGTCTGTCTATTGTCTGGTATATAGTATATTATATACACTTGTCTACAGTCTGGACCATAATCTGGACTATATTGAAGTCAATAGTCTGGATTATAGTCTATTGTGGGCTATACTATAGTCTGTAGTTTGGACTATAGTACAGTCGATAGTGTGGTTTATAGTTCGGACAAGAGTCTAGTCTTCGGTCTGAAAGATAGTCTAGTCTGGAGCATAGTATAGTCTATAGTCTGGACGATAGTCCAGTCTATAGTGTAGACGATGTCTAGTCTATAGTTTGGACGATAGTCTAGTGTATAGTCTGGACTATAGGTAAGTCTATAGTATGGACTATAGGTAAGTCTATAGTCCGGGCTATAGTCCAAAGATAGATAGTCTAGTCTCGACTATAGGCGAGTCTATATTCTGGACGATATTCTAGTCTATAGTGTAGACGATGTCTAGTCTATAGTATGGACTATATGTAAGTCTATAGTTTGGACGATAGTCTAGTGTCTAGACTATAGGTAAGTCTATAGTCCGGACTATAGTATAGTCTATAGTGTGGACTATAGTCTAGTCTATAGTATAGTCAATAGTCTGGACTATATTCTAGTCTCAAGGCTGGACTATAGCCTAATCTATAGTCTGGATTATAGCTGGTCTATAGTCTGGACTATAGCTTAGTCTATAGTCTGGACTATAGCTTAGTCTATAGTCTGGACTATAGCTTAGTCTATAGTCTGGACTATAGCTTGGTCTATAGTCTGGACTATAGCTTAGTCTATAGTCTGGACTATAGCTTGATCTATAGTCTGGACTATAGCTTAGTCTATGGTCTGGACTATAGCTTGGTCTATAGTCTGAACTATAGCTTAGTCTATAGTCCGAACTATAGCTTAGTCTATAGTCTGAACTATAGCTTAGTCTATAGCCTGGACTATAGCTTAGTCTATAGTCCGGACTATAGCTTAGTCTATAGTCTGGACTATAGCTTAGTCTATAGTCTGGACTATAGCTTAGTCTATAGTCTGGACTATAGCCTAGTCTACCGTATAGACTATAGCCTAGTCTACCGTCTGGACTATAGCCTAGTCTATAGTCTGGACTATAGCCTAGTCTACAGTCTGGACTATAGTCTAGTCTATAGTCCGGACTGTAGTCTAGTCTATACTCTGGACTATAGTCCTGTTTATAGTCAGAACTATAGTCTAGTTTATAGTCTGGACTATAGTCTAGTCTATAGTCTGGACTATAGTCTACTTAGTAAAACGAACTATAGACTAGTATATAATCTGAACTTTAGTCTGATCTCAACCATATTTTATAGCAGGTGTTTGAGAACCCCTGCTTTCAGTCTGCATACTATTTGTGCCGACATTAAACTGATTTGTTATTGTAGTTTTTGTTGTTTTATCTCTTTATCTAATGAATGTTTCAATGCCACCTTCACTGCCTTTAGCTGTCACTACTCACTCAATTAATCATGAATATTTTTTCCCTTATCGCCTGAATCTCGTCTCTAACATTAAAAGATCTTTGAATAAAAGAAAAAATAACAATAATTTTAAAGAGTAAAAAATGTAAACAACTAAAGGTCAAAGACAAAATTTAATTCAAAATAATAACGTTTATTGAATGGATTGTATTTAAGGAAGAGACAAATATTAACCCATTATAGACGATAGAGATGAAAACGTGCTACACTTTAACTATCACTGGCAGGAGAAAGGTTATAGGAGTAATATTTTTCTCTTTGGTGTTTAACTATTTTAAGGATGGGGTCAAAGGTTAAACTTTGAAATACTAAGCATTTTTACTTAAAATTACCTTTTTTCTTAATAATTCTTAAATTTCCCACTAAACACCTTGTATTTTCACTTAATATTACATATTTGAATATTATGAAATATTTCTCAAAATTATTATACAAATTTATTCCAAACACATACCTCGACCATAATTGCTTTTAGCATTTTCTAACGAACTAAAAAAAATTCTAAATGATTAATATATTTAAAATAAGTATTATCTATAAAGACAATAAAATATTCTTGTAATATTTTATTAAGAAATCATGGAAAAATTAAAAAAAAAAAATACAAAAAGAATTTATTTCTCCAGATTGACAACATACCTACCACCTGTCAATTATGCACAAGTCGTCGATTTTTACCATGAAATCAATGCGCCTGAATAAAAACGCTTGAAATAAACAAATGTTTAATGAAAATCGTCAAGAAAAATGTAGTGGAAAAAATTTTAAATTAATAAAATGCGAAGAAAAAAAAAACGAAATAATTAACATGCTAGAAACGCCTTGGAAAAAAATGTATGTGCAACAGAAATTAAATGTAAATAAAAATGTATGACGGCAATAGCAATGTGATGATGATGGTAGTGGTTTGATAAAAGAATTTATGTTGTTTTAAATGTACAAAAGAATTGTCGTAATATTTCAATTGAAACGAATCATTTGTGCTCTACGACCAGAACGTAAAAGATAGTTTTTTGAATTAGACTGAAGTCTGTATTACAGACAATATTATGGTACAGATAATAGAATATACTATTGTCCGGACTATAGTTTAGAATATAGAGAAGGCCAGAATATGAATTAGACTATAGTCCAGTCTACAGTCTAGTCTATAGTCTAGTCTATAGTCTAGTCTATAGTCTAGTCTATAGTCTAGTCTATAGTCTAGTCTATAGTCTAGTCTATAGTATAGTCTATAGTCTAGTCTATAGTATAGTCTATAGTCTAGTCTATAGTCTAGTCTATAGTCTGGTCTATAGTCTAGTCTATAGTCTAGTCTACAGTCTAGTCTATAGTCTAGTCTATAGTCTAGTCTATAGTCTAGTCTAGTCTAGTCTATAGTCTAGTCTAGTCTATAGTCTCTATAGTCTAGTCTATAGTCTAGTCTATAGTCTAGTCTATAGTCTAGTCTATAGTCTAGTCTATAGTCTAGTCTATATTCTAGTCTATAGTCTAGTCTATAGTCTAGTCTATAGTCTAGTCTATAGTCTAGTCTATAGTCTAGTCTATAGTCTAGTCTATAGTCTAGTCTATAGTCTAGTCTATAGTCTAGTCTATAGTCTAGTCTATAGTCTAGTCTATAGTCTAGTCTATAGTCTAGTCTATAGTCTAGTCTATAGTCTAGTCTATAGTCTAGTCTATAGTCTAGTCTATAGTCTAGTCTATAGTCTAGTCTATAGTCTAGTCTATAGTCTAGTCTATAGTCTAGTCTATAGTCTAGTCTATAATCTAGTCTATAGTCTAGTCTATAGTCTAGTCTATAGTCTAGTCTATAGTCTAGTCTATAGTCTAGTCTATAGTCTAGTCTATAGTCTAATCTATAGTCTATAGTCTATCTATATCTAGTCTATAGTCTAGTCGATAGTCTAGTCTATAGTCTAGTCCTATAGTCTAGTCTATAGTCTAGTCTATAGTCTAGTCTATAGTCTAGTCTATAGTCTAGTCTATAGTCTAGTCTATAGTCTAGTCTAAGTCTAGTCTATAGTCTAGTCTATAGTCTAGTCTATAGTCTAGTCTATAGTCTAGTCTATAGGTAGTCTATAGTACTAGTCTAGTTAGTCTAGTCTAGTCTAGTTAGTCTAGTCTAGTCTAGTCTATAGTCTGGTCTATAGTCTAGTCTATAGTCTGGTCTATAGTCTAGTCTATAGTCTAGTTTCTATAGTCTAGGTCTATAGTCTAGTCTATAGTCTCTCTTAGTCTAGTCATAGTCTAGTCTATAGTCTAGTCTATAGTCTAGTCTATAGTCTAGTCTATAGTCTAGGCTATAGTCTAGTCTATAGTCTAGTCTATAGTCTAGTCTATAGTCTAGTCTATAGTCTAGTCTATAGTCTAGTCTATAGTCTAGTCTATAGTCTAGTCTATAGTCTAGTCTATAGTCTAGTCTATAGTCTAGTCTATAGTCTAGTCTATAGTCTAGTCTATAGCCTAGTCTATAGTCTAGTCTATAGTCTAGTCTATAGTCTAGTCTATAGTCTAGTCTATAGTCTAGTCTATAGTCTAGTCTATAGTCTAGTCCATAGTCTAGTCTATAGTCTAGTCTATAGTCTAGTCTATAGTCTAGTCTATAGTCTAGTCTATAGTCTAGTCTATAGTCTAGTCTATAGTCTAGTCTATAGTCTAGTCTATAGTCTAGTCTATAGTCTAGTCTATAGTCTAGTCTATAGTCTAGTCTATAGTCTAGTCTATAGTCTAGTCTATAGTCTAGTCTATAGTCTAGTCTATAGTCTAGTCTATAGTCTAGTCTATAGTCTAGTCTATAGTCTAGTCTAGTCTATAGTCTAGTCTAGTCTATAGTCTAGTCTAGTCTATAGTCTAGTCTATAGTCTAGTCTATAGTCTAGTCTAGTCTATAGTCTAGTCTATAGTCTAGTCTATAGTCTAGTCTATAGTCTAGTCTATAGTCTAGTCTATAGTCTAGTCTAGTCTATAGTCTAGTCTATAGTCTAGTCTATAGTCTAGTCTATAGTCTAGTCTATAGTCTAGTCTATAGTCTAGTCTATAGTCTAGTCTACAGTCTAGTCTATAGTCTAGTCTATAGTCTAGTCTATAGTCTAGTCTATAGTCTAGTCTATAGTTTAGTCTATAGTTTAGTCTATAGTCTAGTCTATAGTCTAGGGTATAGTCTAGTCTATAGTCTAATCTATAGTCTAGTCTATAGTCTACTAGACTATAGTCTAGTCTATAGTCTAGTCTATAGTCTAGTCTACAGTCTAGTCTATAGTCTAGTCTATAGTCTAGTCTATAGTCTAGTCTATAGTTTAGTCTATAGTTTAGTCTATAGTCTAGTCTATAGTCTAGGGTATAGTCTAGTCTATAGTCTAATCTATAGTCTAGTCTATAGTCTAGTCTACAGTCTAGTCTATAGTCTAGTCTATAGTCTAGTCTATAATCTAGTCTATAGTTTAGTCTATAGTTTAGTCTATAGTCTAGTCTATAGTCTAGGGTATAGTCTAGTCTATAGTCTAGTCTATAGTCTAGTCTACAGTCTAGTCTATAGTTTAGTCTATAGTCTAGTCTATAGTCTAGTCTATAGTCTAGTCTATAGTCTAGTCTATAGTCTAGTCTATAGTCTAGTCTATACTCTAGTCTATAGTCTAGTCTATAGTCTAGTCTATAGTCTAGTCTATAGTCTAGTCTATAGTCTAGTCTATAGTCTAGTCTATAGTCTAGTCTATAGTCTAGTCTATAGTCTAGTCTATAGTCTAGTCTATAGTCTAGTCTATAGTCTAGTCTGTAGTTCAGTCAGTAATCTGAACTATAGTCTAGTCTATAGCCTGGACTACAGTCTTGTCTATTGCCTCAACTATGAACTTGTCTATAGTCTACACCCTGGTCTAGTCTAAAATCTTGTCTATAGTTTAGGACATATTCTGGACTATAGTTTTGTCTGTATTCTGGATTATATTATAGTCTGGTTGATGGATACTATGGCCTTGACTTAACTTAATTTGAAATAGTTATCTTTAATTAAAACGTTCCAAATTTTTCAAGGTTTTCTTTAAAGTCAAGTCTGCATTCAACAAAAGTTCGATTCAGTTAGTATTAAAAGAGCTTATAATCTTTTAAAATGTGTGGGACTTTTCATACAATTGTAACAAACCTAGTTTGCAACATACCTAAACCAACAATAGGGCACACACAAACTGAAAAGAAAAACACTACAAGTGGAAAGAAGAATGTATCAATGAATCAATGAATGGTAGATATAAAGATATGTTGGTAACAAAAGAACCGCAAATAAAGAGAATATGACATGAATACCACAGTCAGTAGGTATATATGTATTTCTTTTGTATTTGCTGGAATGACTGGTCGTTCGATCGAGCTGTACTGGCTAGCTGTCTTGACTCTGCTGGTGCTTCCAGCATGTCTTTTGCCATAATAAACCAAACACAAACAAATAATTTATCTCAAATAACAAATCAAATGTTTTGATATTGAAAAACTATTGTTTCTGTTACAACAACAACAACAACATCAAAATTGATTTATAGTGATTTGCATTAGAAGCAACAACTATAGGAGATGAAGCAACTAAATGGAAACCCCGTTAATACGGCCACTTAAAATGTGTTAAAAGAAATTAACGGTTTAACGAAAATTTTCAAGAAGTTGCTGAAGACAAAAAAAAAAGTAAAAAACGCTGGACAATTTCATTGCTAAATAAAAACATAAATAAAATTAGACAAAAGGCCAAGCAAAAGCAACATCACCATCATCAACATCACATCTTTATAAACAAATCAAAATGTCTTTTTCATTATTTTACGCAGTGAAAGTGAAATTTAACTATTTTTTTATTAAGAAACTTTAGTTTTTTTTCACAAAACTGTTTATTAACAAGAAAAGTTCAGTTCAGTTTTCGTGTTAACAGGCCTGCAGCAAGGTTTCGCTTAAAAACTATACCGGCTAATTTACAAATTTCAAACAAATAATAAATAAAAATCAATTTAACCAACCAAAAAAAATCATTTGGCTGTGCAAAACTTTTGACACAAAGATATAATTTGTTTATTAAAATAATATAAAAAAATCCTAAAAGTGCGTCTGGTTTACAACTGGAAAACAAGTTTTTCTCCTTTATTTAATGTGTTATTGCCCGCCATAATCATACATACATATATTCATTGAGAGATGTTCATCCAAGCATCCATGTGCAAAAACCCACTTATTTTTAGTGTTTTTAAGCGCCAGGCCAGTAGTTTTCCTCCAGTATTATTGGTGTTGGTTATTAACCTTTTGTGTCTGCTTAACCAATTAGAAAAATACTTAATTTCTACTTTTTTTACTTTAGTGGCTTAAAGCCAAATAAATAACATATTTATCATAGTTAATTTGTTTAAAACAATTACGGTTTGTTAAGAAGAAGATGTTGGAAAAATTATACAAAAAACTTAGGTAAGTTATAGGACGCAGAAGAAAATAACTGTTAAGTGGAATGCATTTAAAAGTATAAAAACTTAGTTTAAGGTCTGGACTATAGTCGTATATATAGGATAGGCTATAGTCTGGAAAATACAATAGCCTGGTACATACTACAGGTCAGACTAAAGTCTATAGTCTCTCCTATAGTATGTCTAAAGTATGGACCATAGTCTGTCTATAGCCTGGAGTAAAGTCTGGACTACATACTGTCTATAGTGTGAACTATAGTCTAGTCTATAGTCTGGACCAGGGTCTGTCTATAGTGTAGACTGTAGTCTAGTCTATAGTCTGGCCCAGGGTCTATAGTGTGGACTATAGTCTTTCTATAGTCTGGACCATAGTATGTTTATAGTCTCGACTATAGTCTGTTTATAGTCTGGACTATAGTCTGTGTATAGTCTGGACTATAGTCTGTCTATAATCTGGACTATAGTCAGTCTATAGTCTGGACTATTGTCTGTCTATAGTCTGGACTATTGTCTGTCTATAGTCTGGACTATAGTCTGTCTAGAGTCTTGACTAAAGTCTGTCTATAGACATGACTATAGTCCTCCCTATTCTTGACTATAGTATGTCTATAGTCTTGACTATAGTCTGTCTATAGGCTTTACTATAGTCTGTCTATAGTCTAGACTATAGTCTGTCTATAGCTTGTCTATAGTCTAGACTATAGACTGTCTAGATCCTTGACTAATGTCTGTATATAGTCTTGACTATAGTCTGTCTATAGTCTTGACTATAGTGTGACTATAGTCTTGAATATAGTCTGTCTATAGTGTTGACTATAGCCTGTCTATGGTTTTGACTATAGTCTGTCTATGGTCTTGACTATAGTCTGTCTATAGTCGTGGCTATAGTCTGTCTATAGTCTTGACTATAGTCTGTCTATAGTCTTGACTATAGTCTGTCTATAGTCTTGACTATAGTCTGTCTATAGTCTTAACTATAGTCTGTCTATAGTCTTGACTATAGTCTGTCTATAATCTGTACTTTAGTCTGTCTATAGTCTTGACTATAGTCTGTCTATAGTCTTGACTATAGTCTGTCTATAGTCTTGACTATAGTCTGTCTATAGTCTTGACTATAGTCTGTCTATAGTCTTGACTATAGTCTGTCTATAGTCATGACTATAGTCTGTCTATAGTCTTGACTATAGTCTGCACTGTGGTCTGTCTATAGTATGTATATAGTCTGGCCTGTAGTCTGTCTGTAGACTATACTTAATCCTATAGTGGTATCTATATAAAGTGCGGACTACAATCCTTTCTATGTTCTGTCGGTCAATAGTCTGAACTATAGACTGTCTGTGTTCTGTCTATAGCCTGGCTTATAATCTCTCTTTTGTCTGATCTTCAAAGTGGTCTGTAGTCTTGAATATAAGAGTAAAGACTACACTCTGGACTATAGTCTACTCTGCACTATATTTAATCTGAAGTCTAGACTGCAATATAGGCGATAACTTAAGATATAGTCTGGTTTTCGTCTAGACTATAGTCTGTGCTATAGTTTGATTTTTAGTCTGAACTACATTTTGTTTTACTCCAGTCAATAAAATACCAAATAATTTGGTCTATTTGAAAAACCTTGAAAATATATTCCGATGATTTCATTACTTTCCATAGCTGTCTAAATAAACCTTAAATATTTCTATTACTTTCAATACCATCCAGTAAAAAGTCTACCCCTTGGAAAAGCTACAAAAATCATAAATATTATTCTTTAACACCTTGTCAACATACAATTACAGCCTTTAGACAACACCTCGGAAAAAACACACACACACCCACTTTTTGTAATAATTGTTAATGAACATAGAAAATCGTTGTAATTTAAACATAAATTTAACATTTAAGTGGTAAACTTTAACACCTGGAAGATGTTGAAGAAAGACAAAATAAAGATGTTTATTTACTAACCGTTAAATTTTGAAATTTAGCTACTAATTTGAATTATTACTGAATTAATGAACTTTTAACATAAATTTTGTTTGTCTTAAAAAACATTAATCATTTTCCTTAATTTGTTTCTCTCGTTTTAGTGAATTTTCATCGATTTCCCATAGTTATCAAATGGCTCCAAGCGTTTGTCAAACATCACCCAAATTAACGCCACACAATAATACACAATCGGGAGTGCATAGTGGTGGTGGCGGTGGTGGTAGTGGAGGTGTCAATGGTCAAGTTGGTGGTACATCATCGATTACACAACGTAGTAATTGTGGCAGCAGCAGTATCAATGGTTCAATGGCTTCATATAAAATGTCAACAACATCGGATACAAGTTGGTCTCAGACACAATATAGTAAGGTAAGAAAAATTAAAAAAATTTCCCGTACCGGGAATCGAACCCGGGCCTTCCGGGTGAGAGCCGGATATCCTAACCACTAGACAATACGGGACTTGTAAAATTTAGCAACAATTTTGTTATTTAAGAGAATACAACTGTAGTATTTATATCCAATTACACCTTGAAACTAAAAACACCACCTTTTCAAAAACAACTCTGTTTGTCATACAGCTCACCACTTCTTTATTCACCTCGAAACAAATCACCTCTAATGAAATAGTAAACACAACAACCCTGTTTTAGTAATCTATACATTAAATAAAAAACTCAACATGCTTCACATGTTAGAGTTGCCAGATTAAAACGCAAAATAAACTCTTAAATTACAATAATTAGGGGAATTTAAAAAATGGTTCCTATTTTTCATATCAAATGATCTTCTATTTTTCTTCTCTTAGGAAAATCAACGACCGCCTGTTTACAATCCCGAAGATTATGTAGTGGCTTTAAAGAAATTTGGCAAGAGGCAAAGTGGACCCAATCCCAAGTCAATATATGATGGCTCCGATATAACAGAAGAAAATTATAAATCGGCTACATTACCACACAAACATTCGGAATACAAGTAAGTTAAATAACAATCCCTTAATGTTAACAGAAGCAATGAAAGTCTTCTTCCCCAACAGAAGTCCCATTATAGCACCCGAGGCAAATGAAACCGAAATGTCTTTACGTCAATTTGCCACCATAACAGATTTGTTAACCAAACTAAGAGCTGACTTAAGAGTATCATTTCCCAGGTGGGTTTGAATTTAACAATAAATTTTAATAACTCTTCTAACTGCATAATTTTTATAGTTTTGTCCAAGAATTTGTGGCCTCACCCTCGGATGGTGTTAGTTTGCTGTTAGAGGTTTTACGTTCCATACAACTATCACAGGCCGTTAATGCACCCTTGAATATGATTAACAATACCGGCACCATGCCCCGTAATTCCCAAAGCTATCAAAGACGTGCCCTCCTAGATGAATTGGCTTGCTTGTGAGTATAACATAAACCCTATTCGTAAGAGTATATATGTAATCCGATTCTTTAAAATTCTAGACAATGTTTGAATATATGCTGCTCACGTTCTTTGGAGGCCACCTCACGTTTGGGCACCACTCCCGTGGGTCTAATGCCTTTGGCCTCCTCAGCCACGGGTCAAGGTATAAGAGCTCGCATCTTGGCAATGCAATTAATGGCCAATGCTTGTGATAAACATACGTTTGGTCATGGTAATCAAAAACTAGCCATGGCTGGTCATACCGCTGTCTCAGAGGCAATGTCTACTTTGCGTCTAAGATGCAGTGAACCGGTACGTTTTCGTCTGTTGATGGGTATGCTGAATAGTGGTGGCGGATCGGGAGAACTGCAAGCTGTAGGTGTTAAGTAAGTTTTTAAAGAAAATTTAAGAATTAAAAGAAAAAGATTAAAGAAAATTTTCCACAATAGATTCATAAATGCCTTTCTGGAGAGTTCGGAAAATTTGCAGCAACGTTTGTATTTACAAGCGGAACTATTTCAAGCTGGTTTTGATCCCAATAACTTATCAAAGGTAAGTATTAAAATTTCGGCATAAATCAAGTTCAATAGCACAACAATCAATGAAATATTCTAAACTGAAAGTTATGTAGCCTAGTCTATAGCTTAGACTATAGTCTAGTCTACAGTCTAGTTTAGTCTATAGTCTAGTCTAGAGTCTAATCTATTATCTGATCTATACTATATATTCAAATTAAAACTGCGCTAAAGATCTAGATTTAAAATTTACAGAAGTTTAACAATCTCTTATTCAAAATTCTCTTTACAGACCATTTCATCCTCTTCCCCCTGGTTGGATGTTTTACGCAACGAATTGAAACGTTTCAATGACATTTATGTGGATGTAGACAAAATGATTAATCAATCTCGTGAAGCTGAACGTGTACGCAGTCAAATGGTTATTTTAGAAAGAAGAGTCCAAATACTGCACGAGGAAAAGGCCGTATTAACATCCATGGAAAGACGTTTACAGGAAAGATGTGCCGAATTGCAAAGAGAAATCTTTCGCTTGCAGGGAGCACAAAATGAGAACACCTTTAAATCGCTGGACAAACAGGGGGTAACCTTGCCCAGACATATACCACCCGGCAAACAAGATTCGTCAGAGCATGAAGATGAAGGCATTAGTAGTTCTGATACGGGACCTTCTTTGTCACCAGTACCCATTTTGGTATTGCCACAGAAAAACAATACCGATGTTGATATAGATAATGTCATGGAGGAACTGGACAATGTGGTCAATGAGGCTGAAAAGCAAATATGTTCAAATGAATGTAAATTTTCACAGTTGAATTCAGAAGCCAAGGAAAAAGAGATTATACCGGTAAATATAGTGCCACAACCGCCCAGAAAATCACGATCTTTAGCTCATCTAGTGCAGCCAGATGGTTCCGAATTAGATGGTTCAGAATATGGCATGTTAATGATGCAAAAACACAACACACAAAATGCTGACGAAAGAGTAGCCGCCCTAAAGACATTTTTCGATGAATCAGACTATATACTACAGGATCATGATAAATCTTATCATAGATCTATATTAGATTCTCCGGAAATACCGGAAAATAACACAAATCAACAGAATGCTTTTAATACACCCAACAACACCACCCGAGAACTGTTAGATGTCATTATGAATGCCCGCCATTGTGAGGATGATCCTAATTTGAAGGCTTTAAGAGATAGCAATGATCATGTTAATGAAGATGATCTTGCGGCCAATGAGGCCATTTTAAATACACAAAATAAAAGACATAGTTTTGCCGAGGCCACCAATAGTGCCACAGTACCGGCTCAACATTTTAACGGAGTGTTTTTCATGACCGGCATGAATACACCACAAAAATATCCCAAACCCGACTTAACAGCGGCCCTGCAGGCTAAAAGAGTTACCAAGAATGTGGAACGTTTAGAAGCGGTATTTGCCAGCCATAATGAAACCTTTACTGAGGCTTCAAGGGGTCAACAACTAATACCCTCTAATAGGGAAAAATCCAAAAGTAATCAACAAATCTATTTCGGCAGTAATCCTACCATAAGAATTGGTTCTTATACCAGTCAAAATAGTCGGCCTGATATTTTGAATAACAACAATGTCAACAGTCGAACTAGATCCTATACCCAAGGCTCCAAAGTCACCGATATACCATCAGGTTTATATTAAACTCTTCGGAAATCTCATTTTAAGCAAATTTTCATTAAAACATTTAGCATTTATTGATTTAGAAAAAGAAAAACCCCGAAAAGAAAAGCTTTTGTGCAATAACACAATTTACAAATTGCGAATTCAATGCGTTTTTTATAAGTATTTCCTTAATTATTAATTAAAAATTAATGAAGTAATTAACCTTAATTATTAGACATATAATTTAAGCATATATTTAAAATTTTTTATTAACAAAAATTAATATTTATTTTTATATATAAACTTAGCTGTAAAACCCTTGAAAACATTTTAATTATTTAACTTAAATGGTTTAAAATGGTGGTAGATTTTAAACTGCATTAACTAATTACTTAATTTTAAGTTAATTTAGTTTTAAATTAATTATTTAAAAATGCATTCTATATATTCTCTACACTATTTATTTCTGTCACAACTTTTTCTGCTTAGAAAAATAAAATAAACTTGATAAAATTCTAAAATTATTTAAAGAATTTTATTTAAAGTTTTTGTATTTTTCCCTAATTAGCACTGCATTTGCACCATTTATTTTTTATTATATTATTTAAATTATTTTATAACACTTTACTAACTTTTTCAGTTATAAGCAAAAATTCAGCACAAGTGTTTTTTAACTGTTATACAAAAATTTATTTTTCCAAAAACATTTATTATATGAAAATAAAATACATTAAAAATTTTAGTAATAATAAAAATAAGTTTTAGAAAATATTTAATAATATCTACAAAAAAAGTGTTTTGTTTTTTGAAATTAGGGTGATAATTTTTATTTCTTAAAAGTCTGGCCATAGTTATAAAGTCATTAAATTCACCTCTGTAGAGTGGAGTTCTATACTTCATATGAGATGCCAGAGATTTGTTAAATGATTCTAGTTCAAATCTATTCAGTTCTTGTTCAGTTTTAGTTCAGTTCGAGTTCAGTTCTAGTTCAGTTCTAGTTCAGTTCCAGCTTAGTTTAGTTCAGTTCGAGTTCAGTGCAGTCGTCTAGTTCAGTTCTAGTTCAGTTCTAGTTCAGTTCTAGTTCAGTTTCTAGTTCAGTTTCTAGTTTCAGGTTCTAGTTTCAGTTCTAGTTAGTTCTTAGTTCAGTTCTAGTTCAGTTCTAGTAGTTCTAGTTCAGTTCTAGTTCAGTCTAGTTCTAGTTTAGTCAGTTCTAGTTCAGTTTCTAGTTTCAGTTCTAGTTGCAGTTTCTAGTCAGTCTAGTTCAGTTTCTAGTTCAGTTTCTAGTTTCAGTCTAGTCAGTTCTAGTTCAGTTCTAGTCAGTTCTAGTTCATGTCTAGTTTCAGTTCTAGTTCATTCTAGTTCAGTTCTAGTTCAGTCTAGTTCAGTTCTAGTTCGTTCTAGTCAGTTCTAGTCAGTTTATTCTAGTTCAGTTCTAGTTCAGTTCTAGTTCAGTTCTAGTTCAGTTCTAGTTCAGTTCTAGTTTAGTTCTAGTTTAGTTCTAGTTCAGTTCGACTTCAGTTCTATTTCTAATGTTTACTTCGAAATCCCTCTCTTGGTTAAAAAACCATCTGGTAACATAAGTTTTAGCGGCAGAAATTCACCATCAATGTGGGGAATTGTTGAATTATAATTAGAGTTACCATATCAACACCAAAAAATTTTGCCAATATTTAATTTGATATGTTTTCATCACTCACCCTCAATTTCTCAAATGCACAATTATTATTTTTTTACCGTAACAATATATTAACAGTTGTCATACAAAATATATTTAAACGACAGAATATCTACCGGTTAAATGATAACTGGAGATTGAAATTATGCCGCTAAAATCGTTTCATAATTTTAGAAGCAAAATTCTATGAAATTTCAAATCAAACATTATTTAAAATTTTTAATTCTTTTCAACATTTTTCATTTGCTTTACAATTACTCTACTATTATTTTAGCATGTGCTTTATTAACCCTAATATATTTCTTGGAAATCTATCAATAATATGTGCAAACAATAATTGATGATAAATTGTCAATTATCCAGTAAGACAAGGGCATTTATCATCACACATCGGACAACAATCATGCGGCAGCAAGCAGCTGGCTTAAGGGAACACAAATCTGGGCCATAAAGTCACATTAATTAAAACAATCATTTTACAAACTCTTGATTATCTCAATAGTTTATTAGCAAAATACTGTTAAGTAGAATTACGTTAAAATATTTAAATTTAAGGCATAAATTGAAGCTAAATAATATAATTTTTCTTAAATATTTTATTTAACCTTTGACCTCTCTATCCTCTGGGGTCAAGGTTAAAACTTTATGACATTTTGATTTTTTCCGCATAAAATAATATTAAATATTATAACCAGGATATAATCAGTACAAGAACGACCTTGCTTAAAACTACATTATTAGCTTTCCGTACATATCACTTTGATACTTATGTTCTTTGCAACTCTGTATTGTGTCTTCGCTTAGCAGCTTATTGTGTCTTAGCTAAAGTCAGATTTGAACTGGATTCCATTCCTGATATTTTATTGATGTTACAAGCTCGACATCTAACTGAATATAACTGATTTTCTTACATTTATTTCACAATGTTAGGTTAATAATAGTAATTGATTCTAGTATATTTTTTATAAACAATAGTAAACTTTTTAACTTGATTATTGCAAAATTTAAATGAGCTTGAACTTGATCTCAAGAAAGTTTCAAAGAAAATGTGTAGGGCGAAAGGGGGGACAGGAGAGGGTAAGTATTTAGACATGTATAGAGGCAAGCATATTTTTCTTAAAGAATAAAGAAATTGAGAATTTTCTTTCAATTAAATTGAAGAACATTGTTGACATAATTTCTAGTATATGAAAAAAAAAATATGCAAGTAAATGAGTTTATTTTCAAGTAGTTTTAAGACAAACGATCTTTAAATAAGACCTCTTATGCTTAATGAAAACGATTATTTTATTAGAGGTTGAAAAAACTAATCTGTAAGGAAATATGAAATAAAATGTTTATAAAAACTTTGAAATGTGTTTCAACATCCACCTATCTGTCTAGACATGGCTTGTTTTAATTAAAAACGATTTTTACACATTTAACCACTGGGACAATTAACTTAAACATCGATTATTGCCTCATATACCTCATGGACTTTAAAATAATATGCATTTATAGCACTAGAAATCAATTGATACAAATATCAGCTACTCAATAGATAAACAATTTATTAAAAGATCAATAAACTACAAAAAAAATGTATTATAAAACAACAACAATAATAAAATACTATTTAAAACAATTGCAAAATAAATTAAATGTATTAAAAAAAGAAATATATAGAGAAAGAAAATTAAAACAAACTGCAGTTAATCTTAAAATGAATGAAATCTGATGTGTTTTAGAGAAGACGAAAAAAAATCACAGTCATGCAATACAAATTGTAGTGACGTAGTCAATGTCAGAGATTAACAATTGAAAAATTTAAAGATATTAAGACTATTCAACAAGACCATCTGATACCACTACAATGTTCACTATTTTAATAACATATTTCTGTTTACTTTATTTGCCTGTCCTCTTTTTGAGAATTTTCTCATGCAACTCTGTATAGTGTCTTCGCTTAGCAGCTGTTGTGTCTTAGCTAAACGAAAAACACACTGCTGAATTGTTCTTATTTAGTTCCATTCCAGTTCAGTTCTAGTTCAGTTCTAGTTCTGTTCTACTTCAGTTCTAGTTCAGTTCAGTTCTAGTTCAGTTCTAGTTCTAGTTCAGTCCTAGTTCAGTTCTAGTTCAGTTCTAGTTCAGTTCTAGTTCTAGTTCAGTTCTAGTTCAGTTCTAGTTCAGTTCTAGTTCAGTTCTAGTTCAGTTCTAGTTCAGTTCTAGTTCAGTTCTAGTTCAGTTCTAGTTCAGTTCTAGTTCAGTTCTAGTTCAGTTCTAGTTCAGTTCTAGTTCAGTTCTAGTTCAGTTCTAGTTCAGTTCTAGTTCAGTTCTAGTTCAGTTCTAGTTCAGTTCTAGTTCAGTTCTAGTTCAGTTCTAGTTCAGTTCTAGTACAGTTCTAGTTCAGTTCTAGTTCAGTTCTAGTTCAGTTCTAGTTCAGTTCTAGTTCAGTTCTAGTTCAGTTCTAGTTCAGTTCTAGTTCAGTTCTAGTTCAGTTCTAGTTCAGTTCTAGTTCAGTTCTAGTTCAGTTCTAGTTCAGTTCTAGTTCAGTTCTAGTTCAGTTCTAGTTCAGTTCTAGTTCAGTTCTAGTTTAGTTCTAGTTCTGTTCTAGTTTAGTTCTAGTTTAGTTCTAGTTCAGTTCTAGTTCAGTTCTAGTTCAGTTCTAGTTCACTTCTAGTTCAGTTCTAGTTCAGTTCTAGTTCAGTTCTAGTTCAGTTCTAGTTCAGTTCTAGTTCAGTTCTAGTTCAGTTCAGTTCTTGTTCAGTTCTAGTTCAGTTCTTGTTCAGTTCTAGTTCTTCTAGTTCAGTTCTAGTTCAGTTCTAGTTCAGTTCTAGTTCAGTTCTTGTTCAGTTCTTGTTCAGTTCTAGTTCAGTTCTAGTTCAGTTCTAGTTCAGTTCTTGTTCAGTTCTTGTTCAGTTCTAGTTCAGTTCTAGTTCTAGTTCAGTTCTAGTTCTAGTTCAGTTCTTGTTCAGTTCTAGTTCAGTTCTAGTTCAGTTCTAGTTCAGTTCTAGTTCAGTTCTAGTTCAGTTCTAGTTCAGTTCTAGTTCAGTTCTAGTTCAGTTCTAGTTCTAGTTCAGTTCTAGTTCAGTTCTAGTTCAGTTCTTGTTCAGTTCTAGTTCAGTTCTAGTTCAGTTCTAGTTCAGTTCTAGTTCAGTTCTGTTCTAGTTCAGTTCTAGTTCAGTTCTAGTTCAGTTCTAGTTCAGTTCTAGTTCAGTTCTAGTTCAGTTCTAGTTCAGTTCTAGTTCAGTTCTAGTTCAGTTCTAGTTCAGTTCTAGTTCAGTTCTAGTTCAGTTCTAGTTCAGTTCTAGTTCAGTTCAGTTCTTAGTTCAGTTCTAGTTCAGTTCAAGTTCAGTTCTAGTTCAGTTCTAGTTCAGTTCTAGTTCAGCTCTAGTTCTTTAGAAACTTAAGTTCCAAATTTACCGAAATTTGTCTAAATTAAAATCTTCATAAATTGAAATAATTTTAACAATGAATTATCTATATTTTACCAACGTTACATTTCCCAACTAAAACTTAATACTCTACCTTTCCCAAGCTATTAATTGTAATGATTGAACTTAAATATTACAGGGGTCTATACTATAAAAACAAGAAAATAGAGAAGAAAAGTAGACGAATGAAAACAAAAACTACAAAATCATCAAACAAATTCAATAATTTGTAAGAAACCAAAACAGAGCAGTTTACGTCGAAGTAACAGCAGTAGCAGCAGAGGCTAATGAAAAAAGGTTTTTATAAAAATTCAATTTCAATTGAACTGCAGTTGTTCGACGGTCTTCAAACGGTAAATAACAACTTCAGCGGTTTGGGAATATTTATAAAACATCATACAAAAAAGTTTTTAAAAAGAGCTAGATCTAGACACCTGTTTGTTATAAAAAATACAGAAAAAAAACTAAACAAAATCTTATCAAAAGGAGATTAATTTTAGCCGGTAAACATTTCTATAAACTACAATTCGTATCAGTTATCGAACAAAATAAACAAGTTGAGAAACAACTTTTTTAAAGATTGTTATATACAATAGTATTTATTTGTTTGTTGTTCAAAAGTTGTGTTTCAAATTGAGAAAACGTTAATTAGTTATTAAAACGGTATAAAATATTTTAAGCAAAAAATTATTTATACAAAAAACTTAAACGTGATGTTGTTGATTATATGAAAATACACTCAAAAAATTGTGATGGTAAAAAATATTTAACACAACTTTAGAAAACTAACTTTCTAGTTCCAGTTCAGTTCTAGTTCAGTTCTAGTTCAGTTCTAGTTCAGTTCAAGTTCAGTTCAAGTTCAGTTCAAGTTCTGTTCTCGTTCAGTTCTCGTTCAGTTCTCGTTCAGTTCTAGTTCAGTTTTAAATCAGTTCTAGTTTAGTTCTAATTCAGTTCTAGTTCAGTTCTAGTTCAGTTCTAGTTCAGTTCTAGTTCAGTTCTAGTTCAGTTCTAGTTCAGTTCTAGTTCAGTTCTAGTTCAGTTCTAGTTCAGTTCTAGTTCAGTTCTAGTTCAGTTCTAGTTCAGTTCTAGTTCAGTTCTAGTTCAGTTCTAGTTCAGTTCTAGTTCAGTTCTAGTTCAGTTCTAGTTCAGTTCTAGTTCAGTTCTAGTTCAGTTCTAGTTCAGTTCTAGTTCAGTTCTAGTTCAGTTCTAGTTCAGTTCTAGTTCAGTTCTAGTTTACTTCTAGTTCAGTTCTGTTCTAGTTCTGTTCTAGTTCTGTTCTAGTTCTGTTCTAGTTCTGTTCTAGTTCTGTTCTAGTTCTGTTCTAGTTCTGTTCTAGTTCTGTTCTAGTTCTGTTCTAGTTCTGTTCTAGTTCTGTTCTAGTTCTGTTCTAGTTCTGTTCTAGTTCTGTTCTAGTTCTGTTCTAGTTCTGTTCTAGTTCTGTTCTAGTTCTGTTCTAGTTCTGTTCTAGTTCTGTTCTAGTTCTGTTCTAGTTCTGTTCTAGTTCTGTTCTAGCTCTGTTCTAGTTCTGTTCTAGTTCTGTTCTAGTTCTGTTCTAGTTCTGTTTTAGTTCTGTTCTAGTTCTGTTCTAGTTCTAGTTCTGTTCTAGTTCTGTTCTAGTTCTGTTCTAGTTCTGTTCTAGTTCTGTTCTAGTTCTAGTTCTGTTCTAGTTCTGTTCTAGTTCTGTTCTAGTTCTGTTCTAGTTCAGTTCTAGTTCTGTTCTAGTTCTGTTCTAGTTCTGTTCTAGTTCTGTTCTAGTTCTGTTCTAGTTCAGTTCTAGTTCTGTTCTAGTTCTGTTTCTAGTTCTGTTCTAGTTCTGTTCTAGTTCTGTTCTAGTTCTGTTTAGTTCTGTTCTAGTTCTGTTCTAGTTCTAGTTCTGTTCTAGTTCTGTTCTAGTTCTGTTCTAGTTCTGTTCTAGTTCTGTTCTAGTTCAGTTCTAGTTCTGTTCTAGTTCTGTTCTAGTTCTGTTCTAGTTCTAGTTCTGTTCTAGTTCTGTTCTAGTTCTGTTCTAGTTCTGTTCTAGTTCTGTTCTAGTTCTGTTCTAGTTCTGTTCTAGTTCTGTTCTAGTTCTGTTCTAGTTCTGTTTTAGTTCTGTTCTAGTTCTGTTCTAGTTCTAGTTCTGTCTAGTTCTGTTCTAGTTCTGTTCTAGTTCTGTTCTAGTTCAGTTCTAGTTCTGTTCTAGTTCTGTTCTAGTTCTGTTCTAGTTCTGTTCTAGTTCTGTTCTAGTTCAGTTCTAGTTCTGTTCTAGTTCTGTTCTAGTTCTGTTCTAGTTCTGTTCTAGTTTTGTTCTAGTTCTGTTCTAGTTCTGTTCTAGTTCTGTTCTAGTTCTGTTCTAGTTCTGTTCTAGTTCTGTTCTAGTTCTGTTCTAGTTCTGTTCTAGTTCTGTTCTAGTTCTGTTCTAGTTCTGTTCTAGTTCTGTTCTAGTTCTGTTCTAGTTCTGTTCTAGTTCTGTTCTAGTTCTGTTCTAGTTCTGTTCTAGTTCTGTTCTAGTTCTGTTCTAGTTCTGTTCTAGTTCTATTCTAGTTCTGTTCTAGTTCTGTTCTAGTTCTGTTCTAGTTCTGTTCTAGTTCTGTTCTAGTTCTGTTCTAGTTCTGTTCTAGTTCTGTTCTAGTTCTGTTCTAGTTCTGTTCTAGTTCTGTTCTAGTTCTGTTCTAGTTCTGTTCTAGTTCTGTTCTAGTTCTGTTCTAGTTATGTTCTAGTTCTGTACTAGTTCTGTTCTAATTCTGTTCTAGTTCTAATACAGTTCTAGTTCTGTTCAGGTTTTGTTCTACTTAGTTCCGCAAAATAATATTTTTATGTGAAAACAATTACTGACATCTAACCCACTGTGCAGTAATTTTAATTGTAAATTTCTTTATCATTAGTAAATAATACCAATTACTGAAAATAATATATTAGCGTCTACGAAAAACTATCAATATTTGCGGCCAAATAGTTACCAGTAGTAACAAACTGTTAATCCGATTAAAAACCAGAAAACAATAGTAAAACGACACTTAACAACTTACAGGTACAATTTTAATTGGATTACTTGCTGATAGTGTTTTGAGTGCCCAATAAAACAACTAAATAATAAATCAATCAATTACAGACTAACGATAAAAAATATCAATTACTTGTGTATATTTTTAGGCGTCTAGTTAGTAGGCAACAGTGTGTAGTGTGTGAAGACAATATGAATCCAGCCAACGCTGATACTCCACCCGTAATAAGGCCATTGACGCCCGCTCTTCAGGAAGTGGCTATAAGAGAGTTGAATGAGAATCCCAAACAATTGGCCGATGATGTTTTAAGATTAAGACAATGGATTTTAAGTCAGCCCCATTTGAAGGCCCGAACAAATGATCAATTTTTATTGGCCTTTTTGAGAGGAACAAAATTTAGTCTGGAGAGAGCTAAACAGAAAATTGATCGTTATTATACCTTAAAGGGAGCCATACCGGAGGTCTTTAATGATAAGAGAGTAGTAGATGATCCACAAGTTTTAGAAATATTAAGAATGGGGTGAGGAGGTGTTAAATATAGTTTAATCTAAATTTCATTAATTAAATTCCCTCAGCATAATCCTACAAGTACCTATACCCAAAGATGAGGGTAGACCTTGTGTTACGATAATTAGAGCTACAGCGTATGATACGAGTAAATATAAGTTTGAGGATATTATAAGAGTGGGTTCTATGTTTGGTGAAATCATGATGATAGAAGATGATAATTCTACGGTTTGTGGTTATATGGAAATTATGGATATGGTAGATGTAGCGGGTACACATCTGTTTAATTTACAACCCGATTTATTGAAAAAGTTTTCAGTATTTGCCGATGAGGCTATGCCCATGCGTCAAAAAGGTACTTGTTTTATAAATGTACCAGGACCATTTGAAAAGGGTTTCAATACTCTAAAGGGATTCTTTCCGGAAAAAATGAAAAACCGGGTAAGTTTCTTAAAAAACTTAAAAATAACCTCATAACTTAAGTTCTTATTTTCCCCTCTTAGATTTCAGTTTGTTCCACAGCCGATATTATATACGATCACGTGCCCCGTGAGTATTTACCGGAAGAATATGGCGGCACTAATGGCACTATGCAGGATATAATCGATCGTATGGAAGCGAAATTAATGAAATATCGCGATTACTTTTTGGATGAACCCAATTATGGTACAGAGGAAAAATTACGAGAGGATGGCTTACCATTTGATTATGAAAGTTATTTTGGTATAGAGGGTTCTTTTAAACAATTGGACATCGATTAATTGGTTGCTCTACTTCTACTTCTTTACTAAACAAAAATTGCTCGTTTCATTGTTATACTTACTACTACTACCACTACTTCTTCTTCATATATTTAGTTTAACTAATTCCTATATGTTATTTACTTATTTACCTAATTGTTGTTTTATTTTTATTTGCAGTTTTAATAACTCCTCATAGCAAAATTTATCTAAGATATAAAATGTAACTTTAACCAAAGATATATAGTATTATTATTAATATTGATTAACATCTGTTGTGATGTTTCCTTTAATGTTTAAATATTTTAGTTTATTTAGTTATAAAGTTTGTTTTAATGTTACTAATTTTTTTTTTTTCTATTTTCTTCTTTCTTTTTTCTTAATTTTTAAACCCCTATTACAGATATATGGATTGAGCGTAAAAGAAGATCATGGTTGCAGTCATTTTTTGGTTTATTTTAATAATAAAATTGTGAAATGAAGTGGAAAATCTAAAGGATTAAATATTTATTTGTAAAAATTGTAGCCCAATTATAGCCCAGACTATAATCCTGACTATCAACTACCCTATGTTTCGGATTATAAAGTAGACTTTAGTCCAGATTCTTGACAAAGCTATAGTTCGGACTTTAGTGGAAACTAAACTAAACTAAACAGCCTTTATGCTAAACTGTATTACAGTTTATACATCGTAATCCAGAGAATATACTACAATATAGTCCACCCTATAGACTAGGTTCTGTTGCGGACTATCTACACTATTATATCTAGACCGTATTCTACACTCTAGAGTAAAGTATGGACTAGATAATAGACCATACTATAGACTAGACTAGATACTATGCTATAAACTAGACTATAGACTATAGACTAGACTATAAACCAGACCATAGAGTAGAGTATAGACTATACTATAAATGAGACAAAAGACTGCAGATTATAACATAAACTATAGACACTATAAACTAAACACTGTAGATTATAACATAGACTATAGACACTGTAAACTAGACTATAGACACTGTAAACTAGACTATAGACACTATAAACTAGACTATAGGCTAGACTATAGACTAGACTATAGACTAGACTATAGACTAGACTATAGACTATACTATAGATATACTATAGACTAGACTATAGACTAGACTATAGACTAGACTATAGACTAGACTATAGGACCTAGACTATAGACTAGACTATAGACTGACTATAGAGAGACTATAGACTAGACTATAGACTAGGACTATAGACTAAGACCTATAGGACTAGACTATAGACTAGACTAAGACTAGACTATCGACTTAGGCTATAGACTAGACTACTAGCCTTAGACTAGACTATAGACTAGACCTATAGACTAGGACTATAGGACTAGACTTAGACTAGACTAGACTATAGCTAGACTATAGACTAGACTATAGACTAGACTATAGACTACTATAGACTAGACTATAGACTAGACGATAGACTAGACTATACTAGACTAGACTACTAGACTAGACTATAGAAGAGACTATAGACTAGACTATTAGACTAGACTATAGACTAGACTATAGACTAGACTATAGACTAGACTATAGACTAGACTAGACTATAGACTAGACTATAGACTAGACTATAGACTAGACTATAGAATAGACTATAGACTAGACTATAGACTAGACTATAGACTAGACTATAGACTAGACTATAGACTAGACTATAGACTAGACTATAGACTAGACTATAGACTAGACTATAGACTAGACTATAGACTAGACTATAGACTAGACTATAGACTAGACTAGACTATAGACTAGACTATAGACTAGACTATAGACTAGACTATAGACTAGACTATAGACTAGACTATAGACTAGACTATAGACTAGACTAGACTAGACTATAGACTAGACTATAGACTAGACTATAGAGTAGACTATAGACTAGACTATAGACTAGACTATAGACTAGACAATAGACTAGACTATAGATTAGACTATAGACTAGACTATAGACTAGACTATAGACTAGACTATAGACTAGACTATAGACTAGACTATAGACTAGACTATAGACTAGACTATAGACTAGACTATAGACTAGACTATAGACTAGACTATAGACTAGACTATAGACTAGACTATAGACTAGACTATAGACTAGACTATAGACTAGACTATAGACTAGACTATAGACTAACTATAGACTAGACTATAGACTAGACTATAGACTAGACTATAGACTAGACTATAGACTAGACTATAGACTAGACTATAGACTAGACTATAGACTAGACTATAGACTAGACTATAGACTAGACTATAGACTAGACTATAGACTAGACTATAGAGTAGACTATAGACTAGACTATAGACTAGACTATAGACTAGACTATAGACTAGACTATAGACTAGACTATAGACTAGACTATAGACTAGACTATAGACTAGACTATAGACTAGACTATAGACTAGACTATAGACTAGACTATAGAGTAGACTATAGACTAGACTATAGACTAGACTATAGACTAGACTATAGATTAGACTATAGATTAGACTATAGACTAGACTACTATAGACTAGACTTCTATAGACTAGACTACTATAGACTAGACAGTAGACTAGACTATAGACTAGACTATAGAATAGACAATAAACTGGACTATAGACTATGGGCTAGACTATATACTAGACATGACAATAGCCTAGAATATAGTCCAGACAATACACTAGACTATAGTTCGGACTATTGACTTGACTATATTCCAGTCTATATACAAGATTATAGGGGTGGTCATGGAATCCAATAATTGTCGGAATTGGATTTGAAAGCTTCAAAAAAATGATCAGATTTAATAAAATTTATTATTATCAGTTTTTAGTTCGATCTAGAACACGATTCACAATCGAGGAAATATCGAAACCAATGTATTTTTTGGTTATTTATAAAACCAATTCCGACTATGATTAGGTTCTATGACAACCCTCTATAATCCAGACTATAAACTAGACTATAGTCCAAGTTATAAAATGTACAATAGCCCAGATAAAACTATAGACAATAGTGCGGACTATAGACTTGACTTAACTGTATAGCCGAACCCTGCCTACAATCCATTACTAATCCAAACAAAATAGATAAAAAATTATATACAAACAATTTTTAAAAAATCTACCAACAACAATTTGGTTAATATTCAATTACTTTGTTATCAATTTATTTTATTATATATTAATAATATATAGAAAAAACATACATTCATATTCCCCTACTCTTAAGCTCTTCGAAAAACGAAAACAATGTTTATTATTTTTATATAAAAAATCAAAAATTAACATTTTCCAGCAATTAATTCTAAATAGGCACTCATTCAGAAAACATAGTAAGTTCCCAGCTGAAATAAAAGGAAATATTAAATTTTACAAAATGTCTATAAGACCCTTAACTCCAGCCTTACAAAAGTTGCCATCGAAGAGCTAAATGAAGATCCTAAACGTATTGAATCCGATTTGGCTGATTTTAAAGCGTGGATAGAGCAACAGCCTCATTTGAAAGCCCGCACCACAGATCAATTTTTAATAGCTTTCCTAAGAGGCTGTAAATATAGTTTGGAAAAGGCTAAATTGAAATTAGAAAATTATTATGCCTTAAAGGAAAAATATCCTGACTTCTTGAAACGGCCCAATTTGGATGAAGAGAAATTTCGTAAATTATTGAAAATGGGGTGAGTGTTAAGAGTAACTAAAGGCAAGAATATTATATTTTTATTATATAATTTTTTCTAGCATAATCCTATATCTGCCTACCCCTTTAACGGAGTCAGGACCTAGAGTGGTATTAGTGCGTAACGGAGCCTTTGATCCTAGTGAGTTCTCATTTTCGGAAGTAGCTCAATATCGTCAGTTAATGCAGGATATTACCTTGGTGGAAGATGATGTGGCGGTGGTGGGTGGTTTAGTTTTTATTATGGATTTTGCTGATGTCTCAGCGGCTCATCTATTTCAAGCTAGCCCCGGGGCTATGCGTAAAGTTTCCCAATATTCGGAACAGGCCATTCCCTTGCGCATTAAAGCTTCACATTTCATAGACACACCCTCGGGATTTGAGCCGGTATTTAATTTAATTAAACCCATTATGCCCGAGAAAATACAAAAGAGAGTAAGTTATTCTTTAAACTATTATATAACTTTACTATATAAATTTTTTTGTTAACAGATGTTTGTCCATGGTTCCAAACGTGAGGAATTGTTTAAGATTATACCCAAAGAAATTTTACCTGAAGAATATGGTGGCCTTAATGGTAGTCTACAGGATTTGATAGATAAATGGGAACAGAAAATTTTATCCTATAGGGACTACTTCAAGGAAGATGAACAATACGGTGTGGATGAGTCTATGCGTGTTAAAGAAGTGGAAGTTACTGGTACAGAATCAACAGATTTGGGTTTGGTGGGCTCTTTTCGTAAATTAGTAGTAGACTAAGGAATTGTTTTACTTTGGTATTTAGCAGATTGAACAAATTTTATTCATAATTTAAGAAAATAAAATTTAATTTAAAACGATTCTGGTTAATATGATTTAATTTTATCAGTGTTTGGACTAACAAGTCTAGTCTAGTCTATAGTCTATTCTATGGTCTGGTCTATAGTCTGGTCTATAGTCTAGTCTATACTCTAGTCTATAGTCTGGTCTATAGTCTGATCTATTGTCTGATCTATAGTATAGTCTATAGTCTAGTCTATAGTTTAGTCTATAGTCTAGTCTATAGTCCAGTCTATAGTCTAGTCCCTAGTCTAGACTTGACTTTAATACTAGTCTATAGTCTAGGGTATAGTGTCTAGTCTATAGTCTAGTCTATAGTCTAGTCTATAGTCTAGTCTATAGTCTAGTCTATAGTCTAGTCTATAGTCTAGTCTATAGTCTAGTCTATAGTCTAGTCTATAGTCTAGTCTATAGTCTAGTCTATAGTCTAGTCTATAGTCTATAGTCTAGTCTATAGTCTAGTCTATAGTCTAGTCTATAGTCTAGTCTATAGTCTAGTCTATAGTCTAGTCTATAGTCTAGTCTATAGTCTAGTCTATAGTCTAGTCTATAGTCTAGTCTATAGTCTAGTCTATAGTCTAGTCTATAGTCTAGTCTATAGTCTAGTCTATAGTCTCGTCTATAGTCTAGTCTATAGTCTAGTCTATAGTCTAGTCTATAGTCTAGTCTATAGTCTAGTCTATAGTCTAGTCTATAGTCTAGTCTATAGTCTAGTCTATAGTCTAGTCTATAGTCTAGTCTATAGTCTAGTCTATAGTCTAGTCTATAGTCTAGTCTATAGTCTAGTCTATAGTCTAGTCTATAGTCTAGTCTATAGTCTAGTCTATAGTCTAGTCTATAGTCTAGTCTATAGTCTAGTCTATAGTCTAGTCTATAGTCTAGTCTATAGTCTAGTCTATAGTCTAGTCTATACTCTAGTCTATAGTCTAGTCTATAGTCTAGTCTATAGTCTAGTCTATAGTCTAGTCTATAGTCTAGTCTATAGTCTAGTCTATAGTCTAGTCTATAGTCTAGTCTATAGTCTAGTCTATAGTCTAGTCTATAGTCTAGTCTATAGTCTAGTCTATAGTCTAGTCTATAGTCTAGTCTATAGTCTAGTCTATAGTCTAGTCTATAGTCTAGTCTATAGTCTAGTCTATAGTCTAGTCTATAGTCTAGTCTATAGTCTAGTCTATAGTCTAGTCTATAGTCTAGTCTATAGTCTAGTCTATAGTCTAGTCTATAGTCTAGTCTATAGTCTAGTCTATAGTCTAGTCTATAGTCTCGTCTATAGTCTAGTCTATAGTCTAGTCTATAGTCTAGTCTATAGTCTAGTCTATAGTCTAGTCTATAGTCTAGTCATAGTCTAGTCTATAGTCTAGTCTATACTCTAGTCTATAGTCTAGTCTATAGTCTAGTCTATAGTCTAGTCTATAGTCTAGTCTATAGTCTAGTCTATAGTCTAGTCTATAGTCTAGTCTATAGTCTAGTCTATAGTCTAGTCTATAGTCTAGTCTATAGTCTAGTCTATAGTCTAGTCTATAGTCTAGTCTATAGTCTAGTCTATAGTCTAGTCTATAGTCTAGTCTATAGTCTAGTCTATAGTCTAGTCTATAGTCTAGTCTATAGTCTAGTCTATAGTCTAGTCTAGTCTAGTCTATAGTCTAGTCTATAGTCTAGTCTATAGTCTAGTCTATAGTCTAGTCTATAGTCTAGTCTATAGTCTAGTCTATAGTCTAGTCTATAGTCTAGTCTGTAGTCTAGTCTGTAGTCTAGTCTGTTGTCTAGTCTATAGTCTAGTCTATAGTCTAGTCTATAGTCTAGTCTATAGTCTAGTCTATAGTCTAGTCTATAGTCTAGTCTATAGTCTAGTCTATAGTCTAGTCTATAGTCTAGTCTATAGTCTCGTCTATAGTCTAGTCTATAGTCTAGTCTATAGTCTAGTCTATAGTCTAGTCATACTCTAGTCTATAGTCTAGTCTATAGTCTAGTCTATAGTCTAGTCTATAGTCTAGTCTATAGTCTAGTCTATAGTCTAGTCTATAGTCTAGTCTATAGTCTAGTCTATAGTCTAGTCTATAGTCTAGTCTATAGTCTAGTCTATAGTCTAGTCTATAGTCTAGTCTATAGTCTAGTCTATAGTCTAGTCTATAGTCTAGTCTATAGTCTAGTCTATAGTCTAGTCTATAGTCTAGTCTATAGTCTAGTCTATAGTCTAGTCTATAGTCTAGTCTATAGTCTAGTCTATAGTCTAGTCTATAGTCTAGTCTATACTCTAGTCTATAGTCTAGTCTATAGTCTAGTCTATAGTCTAGTCTATAGTCTAGTCTATAGTCTAGTCTATAGTCTAGTCTATAGTCTAGTCTAGTCTAGTCTATAGTCTAGTCTATAGTCTAGTCTATAGTCTAGTCTATAGTCTAGTCTATAGTCTAGTCTATAGTCTAGTCTATAGTCTAGTCTATAGTCTAGTCTATAGTCTAGTCTATAGTCTAGTCTATAGTCTAGTCTATAGTCTAGTCTATAGTCTAGTCTATAGTCTAGTCTATAGTCTAGTCTATAGTCTAGTCTATAGTCTAGTCTATAGTCTAGTCTATAGTCTAGTCTATAGTCTAGTCTATAGTCTAGTCTATAGTCTAGTCTATAGTCTAGTCTATAGTCTAGTCTATAGTCTAGTCTATAGTCTAGTCTATAGTCTAGTCTATAGTCTAGTCTATAGTCTAGTCTATAGTCTAGTCTATAGTCTAGTCTATAGTCTAGTCTATAGTCTAGTCTATAGTCTAGTCTATAGTCTAGTCTATAGTCTAGTCTATAGTCTAGTCTATAGTCTAGCCTAGTCTAGTCTAGTCTAGTCTAGTCTAGTCTATAGTCTAGTCTATAGTCTAGTCTATAGTCTAGTCTATAGTCTAGTCTATAGTCTAGTCTATAGTCTAGTCTATAGTCTAGTCTATAGTCTAGTCTATAGTCTAGTCTATAGTCTAGTCTATAGTCTAGTCTATAGTCTAGTCTATAGTCTAGTCTATAGTCTAGTCTATAGTCTAGTCTATAGTCTAGTCTATAGTCTAGTCTATAGTCTAGTCTATAGTCTAGTCTATAGTCTAGTCTATAGTCTAGTCTATAGTCTAGTCTATAGTCTAGTCTATAGTCTAGTCTATAGTCTAGTCTATAGTCTAGTCTATAGTCTAGTCTATAGTCTAGTCTATAGTCTAGTCTATAGTCTAGTCTAGTCTAGTCTATAGTCTAGTCTATAGTCTAGTCTATAGTCTAGTCTATAGTCTAGTCTATAGTCTAGTCTATAGTCTAGTCTATAGTCTAGTCTATAGTCTAGTCTATAGTCTAGTCTAGTCTAGTCTATAGTCTAGTCTATAGTCTAGTCTATAGTCTAGTCTATAGTCTAGTCTATAGTCTAGTCTATAGTCTAGTCTATAGTCTAGTCTATAGTCTAGTCTATAGTCTAGTCTATAGTCTAGTCTATAGTCTAGTCTATAGTCTCTCTATAGTCTAGTCTATAGTCTAGTCTATAGTCTAGTCTATAGTCTAGTCTATAGTCTAGTCTATAGTCTAGTCTATAGTCTAGTCTATAGTCTAGTCTATAGTCTAGTCTATAGTCTAGTCTATAGTCTAGTCTATAGTCTAGTCTATAGTCTAGTCTATAGTCTAGTCTATAGTCTAGTCTATAGTCTAGTCTATAGTCTAGTCTATAGTCTAGTCTATAGTCTAGTCTATAGTCTAGTCTATAGTCTAGTCTATAGTCTAGTCTATAGTCTAGTCTATAGTCTAGTCTATAGTCTAGTCTATAGTCTAGTCTATAGTCTAGTCTATAGTCTAGTCTATAGTCTAGTCTATAGTCTAGTCTATAGTCTAGTCTATAGTCTAGTCTATAGTCTAGTCTATAGTCAGTCTATGTCTAGTCTATAGTCTAGTCTATAGTCTGTCTATAGTCTAGTCTATAGTCTAGTCTATAGTCTAGTCTATAGTCTAGTCTATAGTCTAGTCTATAGTCTAGTCTATAGTCTAGTCTATAGTCTAGTCTATAGTCTAGTCTATAGTCTAGTCTATAGTCTAGTCTATAGTCTAGTCTATAGTCTAGTCTATAGTCTAGTCTATAGTCTAGTCTATAGTCTAGTCTAGTCTAGTCTATAGTCTAGTCTATAGTCTAGTCTATAGTTAGTCTATAGTCTAGTCTCTAGTCTGTCTATAGTCTAGTCTATAGTCTCGTCTATAGTCTAGTCTATAGTCTAGTCTATAGTCTAGTCTATAGTCTAGTCTATAGTCTAGTCTAGTCTAGTCTCTAGTCTAGTCTAGTCTAGTCTATAGTCTATAGTCTAGTCTAGTCTAGTCTATAGTCTAGTCTATAGTCTAGTCTATAGTCTAGTCTGTAGTCTAGTCTGTTGTCTAGTCTATAGTCTAGTCTATATTCTAGCCTGCAATCAAATCTATAATCTCGTCTATGACTTAGTCTACAGAAATCGAAACAAACTGTTGTTGTACAAAGGCATTTTTGTAAAAAGAAACTGTTGTTTTGCAAAAAGCTTTCCATAAAAAAGCTTTAGAAAGCTTAAAAAAGTCGTGACTAACATTTTCCTACGGCTGACTACACTTTTTCCGCCACTCTGCATTGTTTCCCTTTATCTGTAAATCATTTTTTTAAAGTTCCTATAAATTACATATATAGTAGATAAATGAGCTTATTTTTCAATTACGCTCATCATTAATTAACAATTATTGTTTAAACAAAAAACAAATATAAATAAACAAATACCTAGTGTATGAGAATACAAGTATGTTATGTATTCCAAAAGATTTTTAGCTCAAAACGCAAAAAACTTGATTTCATTAACAAAATATTCATTAGAGAGAAAACATTAGTTTTATTAAAATATAAAATAAAATTTTCATTGTAAAATGATATTAAGACCCCTTACCGATTCGCTACAAAAAGTAGCCACTGAGGAATTAAATGAAGAACCCCAGCGCATGGCTAGCGAATTGCAATCTTTAAAAATTTGGATTGCCGAACAGCCCCATTTAAAATCTCGAACAGATGATCAGTTTCTCTTAAGAAATTGTAAATATAATTTAGAGGAAGCTCAACAAAAACTGGATAATTATTATAGTTATATAGAAAAAATCCCGAGATTTTAAGAAGACCTGATATAACAGAAGAAAGATTTCGGAAATTATTAAAATGCGGGTGAGTATTTCCTAAATTATTTTCAAGATTTTATAAAAATAAAAAACTATTATTTTATAGTGTGGTAGTGTACTTACCGCAACCTTTAAATGAAGTGGGTCCACGCGTTTTACTGGTGCGCAATGGGGCCTTTGATCCCCGGGAATTTACCTTTAGCGAGGTATCACAATTCCGTCAATTACTGCAAGATATTCTTTTCTTAGAGGATGATGTAGCTGTTGTTTCCGGCATAATTTATATTATGGATTTTGGTGATGTGACTGCTACCCACTATCTACAAGTTAGTCCCGCGGCCGTAAGAAAAATTTCACAATACACTGAGGAATGTGTTCCTCTAAATCTTAAAGCTAATCATTTTATAAATACGGCCACTGGATTTGCTCCTTTGTATAATTTGGCTAAAACGTTTATGCCTGCAAAGACACAAAATAAAGTAAATTTTTTAATTGAGTTTTTAAAAGCTTTAATAGTTTCTTAAATTATTTTTATTTTTTTTTTTTTCTAGATGTTTGTTCATGGTTCAGATCTCGAGCAGTTATACAAATCAATACCCCGAGAGATATTGCCTTTGGAATATGGTGGTGAAGCTGGCAGTTTACAAGATTTAATAGATCAATGGGAACAGAAGGTGCTTTCTTATGTGAAGTATTTCAAAGATAACGACAAATATGGTGTGGATGAAAGCTTACGTGTTAAGAATTCGGATGGTGCCACTAGATCCAAATTTTTAGGAATATTTTAATCAACTAAGTTTAGTGGCAACAGTTTCCTGAGAAAAGCTTTGAGGAAAAAAGTTTTTGCGAGAAATTTTTTTACATTGGTTATTTATAGAAAGCTTTTGCAAGTCAAAAACTTTCCATATAAAACATCTGAAGAATTCATTAACAACACAATAGTTTTTTTAAGGAATGTTCTGACTAGACAATAATTTTTTTATAGAAAGCTTTTACGAATCAAAAGTTTTCTCTGGAAAACATTGACGTTAAATTTTTTATAGAAAGCTGTGGCAAGTTAACAGTACTTTATATAAATTTGTGGAAAAATAATCGTTTTATACATAAAGCTTTAGAAGTCAATAGTTTTCTATAGAAAACTTTGGCAAGACAACAGTTGTTTATAGAAAGCTTTTGAAAGACAACAATATTCTATAGAAAACTTTTGCGAGCAATAGTTTTTTAATAGAAAACGAGACAATAGATTTCTTTAGAAAGCTTTTGCGAGTGAACACTTTTCTATAGGAAGATTTGACAAGACAACTGCTTTTCAAAGAAAGCTTTTGTGAGCAACAGAAAACTTTGAGACAACAGATTTATAAATAAAGCTTTGGCGAGTATAGTTCCTTAAAGAAAGCTTTAATAGGTCAAACATTTTCTAAAGAAAGCTTTTAAAAAAATACTGAAATAAATAGCAGCTAATAGAGAGCTTTTGGGAGACAACTAACAGCTTTCCTTAGGCATAACATTCCCTTTTTCTATAGACATAGGTTTCTTGCTAGAAAACTTTTGCGAGCAATAGTTTTTAGTCTTTAGAAAGCTTTTGCGAGTGAACACTTTTCTATAGGAAGATTTGACAAGACAACTGCTTTTCAAAGAAAGCTTTTGTGAGCAACAGAAAACTTTGAGACAACAGATTTATAAATAAAGCTTTGGCGAGTATAGTTCCTTAAAGAAAGCTTTAATAGGTCAAACATTTTCAAAAGAAAGCTTTTAAAAAAATACTGAAATAAATAGCAGCTAATAGAGAGCTTTTGGGAGACAACTAACAGCTTTCCTTAGGCATAACATTCCCTTTTTCTATAGACATAGGTTTCTTGCTAAAACTCTGGCAATACAAAAGCTTTCTACACAAAAACTTTAATACAACTGTTGATATCTATGGAAAGCTTTTGGAAGAAATTAGATTTGTATAGACAATCTTTGACATACACTTTCCACAAAAACGTTTACCATAATTTCTTTTAAAATGACTCCACCATTTAAAACACCCTTTTGTATTGCTTAAAATTAATAAACACCAAAAACTATATTTAATCTAATAAAATTTCTTAAATTTAACCATAACCGATAAGATTTTCTTTTGTTAGCAAAGCACTAGGTCTTAAACAAATTAATATTTAGTACATTTTAACTAGCCGCTATTAAAATATGGCACAAATAAGACCCTTAAACGAAATTTTGCAAAAAGCGGCTGCCGAACAATTGGGTGAAGATCCTAAACGTTTAGTGGAAGATTTGGAGGCTCTTAAGACATGGATTCAACAACAACCTCATCTCAAAGCCAATACCGATGATCAGTTTTTAATAGCTTTTCTTAGAGGCTGTAAATATAGTTTGGAAAAGGCTAAATCAAAAATAGATAAATTCTTTACCTTAAAAACTAAATTTCCCGAAATGTTTGCGGTTACGGATATAGATAGTCCCAGATTTAAGGAAATCTTTAAAATGGGGTAAGTTCAATAGGGAAAAGAAAAAATAAAAAAAAAAAAAAACTTTATAAAATTTTGTATAGTATGTGGATGTATTTACCCACTCCTCTTAATGAGACTGGGCCTCGCATTTGTATCATGCGCAGCGGTTTATATCCAGCCGATAAGTACTCTGTGGAAGAAATCATGGGTGTAGCTAATGCTGTACAAGAAGTCTTAATGTTAGACGATGATTATGCCAATGTTAATGGTGTGGTATTTATTGGAGATTTTGAAAAAGCCACCATGGCTCATATGTTCCAAATGACCCCGGGGGTAATGAAAAAGATGACAGTGTTTTCCGAAGAAGCCATACCTTTAAGACCCAAATCTTCACATTTCTTCAACACACCCAGTGGTTTTGATACTGTATTCAATATGGTCAAACCCATGTTGTCACAGAAACAACAAAATCGGGTGAGTTTGAATTTAATTTTCTTTTATTACAAAAAGATCGTTTAATATCAAATTTTCTTCTAAAACTTTTAGTTATATGTCCATGGCAATAAGTTGGATTCTTTAACCCAACAAATTCCCTTAAAATATTTACCCAAAGAATATGGCGGTGAAAATGGTTCTTTTGAAGAAATCAATGCCGTTTGGGAGCAGAAATTGGAGGCTTATAGAGATTATTTTAAGAAGAATGCTGAATATGGTACCGATGAGAAGTTACGGCCGGGCAAAGCTATCGATTTTGATAGTATGTTTGGTATTGAGGGTTCTTTTAGGAAATTAAATGTGGATTAAGATTAAGGCAAAAAAATATTACATTTATATAGTTTTATTACCTTCCTTGAAGTGCGATCTACGGTGTGTTTTAAAGTATATTATTTTAAATATATTTACTGTACTGTTGCAATAAATTAATAAAACTTAATAGAAATATAATAACAATTAAATAAAGATTAGATCTAGTTCAATTTTAATTTAGTTCTGAGAACTAGAACTCAGTTCTAGTTCAGTTCTAGTTCAGTTCTAGTTCAGTTCTAGTTCAGTTCTAGTTCAGTTCTAGTTCAGTTCTAGTTCAGTTCTAGTTCAGTTCTAGTTCAGTTCTAGTTCAGTTCTAGTTCAGTTCTAGTTCAGTTCTAGTTCAGTTCTAGTTCAGTTCTAGTTCAGTTCTAGTTCAGTTCTAGTTCAGTTCTAGTTCAGTTCTAGTTCAGTTCTAGTTCAGTTCTAGTTCAGTTCTAGTTCAGTTCTAGTTCAGTTCTAGTTCAGTTCTAGTTCAGTTCTAGTTCAGTTCTAGTTCAGTTCTAGTTCAGTTCTAGTTCAGTTCTAGTTCAGTTCTAGTTCAGTTCTAGTTCAGTTCTAGTTCAGTTCTAGTTCAGTTCTAGTTCAGTTCTAGTTCAGTTCTAGTTCAGTTCTAGTTCAGTTCTAGTTCAGTTCTAGTTCAGTTCTAGTTCAGTTCTAGTTCAGTTCTAGTTCAGTTCTAGTTCAGTTCTAGTTCAGTTCTAGTTCAGTTCTAGTTCAGTTCAGTCAGTTCTAGTTCAGTTCTAGTTCAGTTCTAGTTCAGTTCTAGTTCAGTTCTAGTTCAGTTCTAGTTCAGTTCTAGTTCAGTTCTAGTTCAGTTCTAGTTCAGTTCTAGTTCAGTTCTAGTTCAGTTTCTAGTTCAGTTCTAGTTCAGTTCTGTTCAGTTCTAGTTCAGTTCTAGTTCAGTTCTAGTTCAGTTCTATTAGTTCTAGTTCAGTTCTAGTTCAGTTCTAGTCAGTTCTAGTTCAGTCTAGTTCAGTTCTAGTTCAGTTCTGTTCAGTTAGTTCCTAGGTCAGTTCTAGTTCAGTTCTAGTTCAGTTCTAGTTCAGTTCTAGTTCAGTTCTAGTTCAGTTCTAGTCTTTCTAGTTCAGTTCTAGTTCAGTTCTAGTTCAGTTCTAGTTCAGTTCTAGTTCAGTTCTAGTTCAGCTTCTAGTTCAGTTCTAGTTCAGTTCTAGTTCAGTATCTAGTTCAGTTCTAGTTCAGTTCTAGTTCAGATTCATTTCAGTTCTAGGTCAGTTCTAGTTCAGTTCTAGTTCTAGTTCTAGTTAGTTCAGTTCTAGTTCAGTTCTAGTTCAGTTCTAGTTCTAGTTCTAGTTCAGTTCTAGTTCAGTTTCTAGTCAGTTCTAGTTCAGTTCTAGTTCAGTTCTAGTTCAGTTCTAGTTCAGTTCTAGTTCAGTTCTAGTTCAGTTCTAGTTCAGTTCTAGTTCAGTTCTAGTTCAGTTCTAGTTCAGTTCTAGTTCAGTTCTAGTTCAGTTCTAGTTCAGTTCTAGTTCAGTTCTAGTTCAGTTCTAGTTCAGTTCTAGTTCTAGTTCAGTTCTAGTTCAGTTCTAGTTCAGTTCTAGTTCAGTTCTAGTTCAGTTCTAGTTCAGTTCTAGTTCAGTTCTAGTTCAGTTCTAGTTCAGTTCTAGTTCAGTTCTAGTTCAGTTCTAGTTCAGTTCTAGTTCTATTCAGTTCTAGTTCAGTTCTAGTTCAGTTCTAGTTCAGTTCTAGTTCAGTTCTAGTTCAGTTCTAGTTCAGTTCTAGTTCAGTTCTAGTTCAGTTCTAGTTCAGTTCTAGTTCAGTTCTAGTTCAGTTCTAGTTCAGTTCTAGTTCAGTTCTAGTTCAGTTCTAGTTCAGTTCTATCTAGTTCTAGTTCTAGTTCTAGTTCAGTTCTAGCTCAGTTCTAGGTTCAGTTCTAGTTCAGTTCTAGTTCTAGTTCAGTTCAGTTCTAGTTCAGTTCTAGTTCAAGTTCTAGTTCCGTTCTAGTTCAGTTCTAGTCAGTTCTAGTTCAGTTCTAAGGTTCAGTTCTAGTTCAGTTTCTAGTTCAGTTCTAGTTCAGTTCTAGTTCAGATTTCTAGTTCAGTTCTAGTCAGTTCTAGTTCAGTTCTAGTTCAGTTCTAGTTCAGTTTCTAGTTCAGTTCTAGTTCAGTTCTAGTTCAGTTCTAGTTCAGTTCTAGTTCAGTTTCTAGTTCAGTTCTAGTTCAGTTCTAGTTCAGTTCTAGTTCAGTTCTAGTTCAGTTCTAGTTCAGTTCTAGTTCAGTTCTAGTTTCAGTTCTAGTTCAGTTCTAGTTCAGTTCTAGTTCAGTTCTAGTTCAGTTCTAGTTCAGTCTAGTTCAGTTCTAGTTCAGTTCTAGTCAGTTCTAGTTTCAGTTCTAGTTCAGTTCTAGTTCCAGTGTATAGGTCTAGTTCAGTTCTAGTTCAGTTCTAGTGCAGTTCTAGTCAGTTTCTAGTTCCAGTTCTAGTTCAGTTCTAGTTCAGTTCTAGTTCCAGTTTCTAGTTTCAGTTCTAGTCAGTTCTAGTTCCAGTTCTAGTTCACGTTCTAGTTCAGTTCTAGTTCGTTCTAGTTCAGTTCTAGTTCAGGTTCTAGTTCAGTTCTAGTTCAGTTCTAGCTCAGTTCTAGTTCAGTTCTAGGTCAGTTCTAGTTCCATTTCTAGTTCAGTTCTAGTTCAGTTCTAGTTCAGTTCTAGTTCAGTTCTAGTTCAGTTTCATAGTTTCAGTATCCTAGTTTCAGTTCTAGTTTCAGACGTCATTTTTTCTTTAGCGTTTTCACCCCCCCAAAAATTCACTAAAAATCTTACTTTTCACCAAAAATTAACTTTCACTAAAAATCTATTTTCAAGTGAAAATTTAATTTTCATGAAAAATTCAAATTTTGACTAAAAATTAAAATTTTGACTAAAAATTCAAATTTTGACCAAAAATTCAAATTTTGACTAAAAGTTCAGTTTTTCACTAAAAATGAAATTTGTCACAAAAATTAAATTTTTCACTAAAAATTTGATTTTCACAAGTTTTTTTATATTTTTTTTGACTAAAAGCCCTTTTTTACTAAAAATGTTATCTATCGCTAAAAATTCAATTGTTGCCCAGTGTATTTCAAATATTTTAACTAAATCTATTTTATCAAAAAGTTCAGTGAACTAAATGCTGCTTGTTTTAAGTAAAAATAAAATCAGAAAAAAAATTAATTTCTTTCAAAATGAGGAGAAAATTTCAACTCCCTATAGATCCTTTAAGGTTCGTAATTGAGTTATTTTTAAAAATATAATTGATAAATTTTACACTTTATTATTTTTTGGATATAAATGTCTACAATTTATTTATAAATTTGCACTAAGATTTTCTGCTTTTTTACGCGTAGTAGTATTAAACATTATAAAATGATTGGGCAAAATCAATAAATTTGGTAATCAATAAACTACATGATGAAACATGTACTCGAGTTGAAAATTCAATAAAAGTATGATCGATACGAATTGTGAGCATACTATAAGGGCATATATACAATATTCTCTCATGAAGGATTCTATTTTATCTAAAGGTGGCTTAAGTTTTAGAGAATAGAAATTAATGACTTCAAATCTGTTTGGACCTTTCTTTAGAAAACTGTTGGTGTCCGTAAAAAGTTACATGTATTAAAAATTAAAGCTGTCGAATTAACAATGAAGAGTTTCTGCAAAGAAATAAACAATTTATAAAGTTTTACTATCGCACCATAAAAAAAAACATTGTTATTGGCCTAACAACGATCGACCTTTTCAAAAAATCGGCTTATCTTCAAGATATACAAATACACCCCAACAAGGGACAATAATATCGTGTACTAGTACGTGCAAAAACTTACCGCTACCCCCTCACCATAATTTCTAATAACATTACTTAACTTATCAGTTACTTTTTATCTGTTAACCGTCTAATATTGATAATGTCTAGGAATTGTATTGTAGGGAAAAAATAGAAAATCAATTCAATAGCTACTAAATTTTTAATTTAGTCTACTTTTAAAAGTGTTAATAGTGGGAAGCAAAATGGCCCAAATACGACCTTTAAATGAGGAATTACAAAAGGCTGCCGCCGAAATAGGAGAAGATCCTGCACGCATTTCAGCCGATTTGGAGGCCTTGAAGACATGGATTAAACAACAGCCACATTTGCGCGCCAATACTGATGATCAGCTTTTAATAGCTTTTCTGCGTGGCTGTAAATACAGCTTAGAGAGAGCAAAATCTAAAATTGATAAATTCTATACCTTAAAAAGTAAATTTCCCGAAATTTTCAGACCCACCGATGTGGATGATGCCAAGTTTAGGGACATATTTCGTTTGGGGTAAGTGTTTTGGATCAAAAAGACCTTAATAGGAAACTAATTTTACACTTTATTTAATTTAGTATGTGGTCTTATTTGCCTACACCTTTAAATGGTAATGGTCCACGTATTGGTATTATGCGCATGGGTTTATATCCCGCCGATAAATACAACATTGAGGAGGTGATGACAGTGGCTAGTGCCATGCAAGAAATTGTTCTGCTCGAAGATGATTATGCTGTCATCAATGGTGTGGTATTCATAGGAGATTTTGAAAAGGCTACCATGGCCCATATGTTCCAAATGACACCCTCAGTGGCTAAGAAAATGACAGTGTTTTCAGAAGAAGCTATACCCCTAAGACCTAAAGCCTCACATTTCATTAATACACCCACCGGTTTTGAACCCGTTTTCAATATGATTAAGCCCATGATGTCGGAGAAACAACAGAAAAGGGTAAGCGTTTCAATAGTTAAATTTTCCCTTTAAATATTTTGTTATTCAAAACTATTTTTAACCCCAAATATTTCCTTATTTTACAGTTATATGTCCACGGCAATAAAATGGACTTGCTAACCAATGAAATTCCCCTGAAATATTTGCCCAAAGAGTATGGCGGTGAAAATGGTTGTATAGCTGATCTGACCGTTGAATGGGAAAAGAAATTAGATGATTATAGAGATTATTTCAAGAAGAATGCCGAATTTGGTACCGATGAAAAGTTGCGTCCCGGCAAAGCTATCGATTTCGATAGTATGTTTGGAATTGAGGGTTCCTTCCGTAAATTGAATGTGGATTAAAGTGTATTTTTAATTTTTTATAGTTTAAAATTTTAAGATTAGAGACAAATAAACAAATAAATAAAAAAAATTTAAATTCACAAAATTATTAACTAATTTATATACAAAGTCTGGACTGTAGAGTAGTCTATAGTTTGGACTATAAAGTAGTCTATAGTTTGGACTATAGAGTAGTCTATAGTCTGGTCTATAGAGTAGTCTTTAGTCCAGACTATAGACTACTATATAGTCCAGACTATAGACTACTATATAGTCCAGACTATAGACTACTCTATAGTCCAGACTTTAGACTACTCTATAGTCCAGATTATAGACTACTCTAAAGTCCAGATTATAGGCTAATCTATATTCCAAACTATAGACGGACTAAAAACTACTTTATAGTCCAGACTATAGACTACTCCATAGTCCAAACTATAGAGTAGTCTATAATCTGGACTATAGACTACTCTATAATCTGGACTATAGGGTGGTTTATAGTCTGGACTATAAAGTAGTCTATAGTCTGGACTATAGAGTAGTCTATAGTCATGTCTATAGACTAGTCTATAATATGAACACTAGAGTAGTTTTAAGTCTGGACAATAGAGTAGTCTATAATTTGGACTATAGAGTAGTCTTTAGTCTGGACTATAGACTACTCTATAATCTGCACTATAGGGTAGTTTATAGTCTGGACTATAAAGTAGTCCTTTAGTCTGGACTATCGAGTAGTCTATAATCTGGACTATAGACTCTCTATAATCTGGACTATAGGGTAGTTTGTAGTCTGGACTATAAAGTTGTCCATAGTCTGGACTATAGAGTAGTCTATAGTCATGTCTATAGACTAGTCTATAATATGAACTCTAGAGTAGTTTTAAGTCTGGACAATAGAGTAGTCTATAATTTGGACTATAGAGTAGTCTATAGTCTGGACTATAAAGTAGTCTATAGTTTGGACTATAGGGTAGTTTATAGTCTGGACTATAAAGTAGTCTATAGTCTGGACTATAGAGTAGTCTATAGTCTGGACTATAGAGTAGTCTATAGTCATGTCTATAGACTAGTCTATAATATGAACTCTAGAGTAGTTTTAAGTCTGGACAATAGAGTAAGTAGTCTATAGTCTGGACTGAAGAGTAGTCTTTAGTCTGGACTATAGAGTAGTTTTTAGTCTGGACAATAGAGTAATCTATAATTTGGACTATAGAGTAGTCTATAGTCTGGACTATAAAGTAGTCTATAGTTTGGACTATAGGGTAGTATATAACCAGGACTTTAGAGTATTATGTAGTCAGAACTATAGTATAGTCTATAGTATGGAAGTAGACTATAGTCTGGACTAGAATATAGCCGGGACTGGAGTATAGTCTGGACTATAGAGTAGTTTGAAATCGGAACTATAGACTAGACTATGGACTAGACTATAGACTAGATTATACTTTAAACTATAGAAATATAGGACTATAGAGCTATAGACCCCCTAATACATTAACGGCCTACCTAATTATGATCGTTGATCAATTTCATTAAACCAACTTTTCACTTCCATTATTTACTCTCTGCTCTTTACAGCTGATAATCAAAGCTTATATTAGAAAAAAACTTGTTTAAAAAATTTAAAAAAAATGGTTCAAGTTGTTTTCAATGAAAAGTTCAAAAACATGTTTTAATACTAATAAATCAACTAAAACAATGTAAACTAATAAACAAATAATGAAAAGCTCATAAATAAGTTGAAAATTTTTTAATGAAAAACTTCTAAAACATGTTTTATATTTTCAAGCAGACGTTTTAAAAGCACTAATTTGTTTTAAAAAAGCGCTACTTTTTCTTAAATATATAAATTAATCTTTGTTTTTCTACTTGAATTATTTTAATTATTAGCTAAAATTATAATCTTTATTTAACTTATAAAACAGTTGCAATTTAAACTTCAATTTGTAATGATCTCAGACATAAAATATGTCTCTTATAAAAGCTTTACCTTTGAAATTACAAAAAGTGGCTGAAACGGAATTAGCAGAAGTGCCACATAGAATACCCGAGGATTTAAAAGCCCTAAGAACTTGGATAGAACAGCAGCCGCATTTAAATGCCCGACTGGAAGAACAATTTCTAATACAATATCTGCGCGGCTGTAAATACAGTTTGGAGAAGGCCAAAACCAAATTGGATCTCTTTTTTACCTTGAAATCAAAATTTCCCGATTTGTTTAATGTTACCGATATAAATGAGGCAAGATTTAGGAAAATTAATAATAAAGGGTGAGAATTTTAACACTTAAAGTATAAAATAGAAATTAAAATATACTTTGTTGCAGTTTTGGCCTAGCCTTGCCTCAACCTCTCAACGAACAGGGTCCACGTATATTTTTTCTTACATTCGAAGGTGATATTGGCAAAGGTCTATATGATATTGAAGATTTATTTCGTGTGATGAATGCCATGCATGAAATCTTTATTGTAGATGATTCTTATGCCTGCATTAATGGAATTGTTTATATTTTGGATTTGAAAAATATCTCCTTAAATATGGCTTCAAAATTTACACCATCTTTTCTAAGAAAAATTGTACAATTTTATGAGAAATCTTTACCGTTGCGTATCAAAGCTTGTCATATGTTAAATACACCGGGATTTTTCCACAGTGTTTTGAGTATATTATTGCCGCTGTTATCGGAGAAACTGAGAAAGAGGGTAAGTTTGAAATTTTCTTTAGAAGTTGTCTATAGCAAACCAAATTCGCAAAAGCTTGCTATTGGAAACTGCTAATGTCTAGACCCAAGTTTTCGATGGAAAATCTTATATTTTTCTTTCTTGTTTAGATGTTTGTTTACGGTCAGAACTATACTGATGATTTGGAGAAAAATATACCCAAAAAATATTTACCCACCTATTTAGGTGGAGATAATGGTGTTCGTGAACAACTTATAAAGGACTTCGATCAGAAGTGGTTAGAGTATAAGGATTATTTTAAACAAAATGAAAACTATGGCACCGAAGAACTATTGAGACCTGGTAAACCTATCGATTTTGATAGCATGTATGGTTTGGGTGGTTCATTCCGTAAATTAGATGTGGATTGAAATAAAGTTTTCAAAATTAATTTAAGCTTTTTGAAAAGAATTATGAAAAATTATTTATATTCTTTAGACTTATGCATAGTTATGAAAAGATATTTAGTTATTTACTCTCTAAGACTTTACTTCCTAGAGAAAATTTTATTTTCTAATAAAGTTATCTCTTCTAAAGAAAGTTTTGTTCCCTAAGAAAGTAAACTTTTCTAAAGAAAGTTTTCCTATAGAATAAAGCTTTTCTAAAGAGAGGAAAATGTTCTTTACACCATAAGGCAGCAAACTTTTCTAGATAAAACTTTAATCACAAAGGGAGAAATCCTTCCTAAAGAAAGCTTTGCTCTCTAGAGTAAACATTTTGAAAGAAAGCTTTACTTTCAAGAAAAGTAAACTATTTTATTGAAGTCTATACTCTTTAAGGAACTTTTCTTAAGAGGTAAAGCTCTATTTATGACACCTTTTTCTTTAGAGATAATTAACTTTTAAATAACGTGTGTGTTGGGTTATTTATAAATAATTGTTTAATTAAATAAAAGTCATATATTTTAAAAACAACTGTTACTTTTGTTTTCTTTTAATCATCAAATATCTCTTTTGTTTATAAAGACCAAAAATTTTATTCAAAAGTGTAAATAACTTTATGGCAAAAAGTTAATATCTAAAACATTAGTTTCACTTCAAATACAGAGCTTCTAAAAACAACTTTAGAGTTTTAAATTTAATTAAAATTTTATTATTCTCTTACCCTCCTGAGTTATATTTAAAGGTCTTAAGAAACGTCACAAGAAATTATGGCAAATATAAGACCTTTATCAGAAGACTTACAAAAAGTAGCTGAAACTGAATTATCGGAAGTACCGAAAAGAATACCCGATGATTTGTTAGCCTTGAAGACATGGATTGAACAGCAGCCTCATTTAAAGGCCCGTCAAGATGATCAGTTTTTAATACAGTACCTACGTGGCAGTAAGTACAGTTTGGAAAAAGCTAAAACTAAATTGGATATATTTTTCACCTTGAAATCCAAATTTCCCGATTTGTTTAATGTCACCGATATAAATGATGCAAGATTTAAGAAAATTTACAGTTATGGGTGCGTACCTATACTAGACACGAAAGTAACCCTTTAAAACATACATATATTATTACAGTTTTGGTCTACCGTTACTACGACCTCTCAACGATCATGGTCCACGTATATTTTTTGTTAATTTCGAAGATGATATTGTCCATGGTCAGTTTGATGTTCCGGAATTGTTTTGGGTAGTTAATGCTATGCATGAAATTATTATAATGGATGATCCTTATGGCTGTATAAATGGCATGATTTATATTTGGGATTTGAAAAATATTTCGCTAAATATGGCTGCAAAATTTACACCTTCATTTCTAAGAAAAATGGTACAATTTTATGATAAATCTTTACCGTTTCGTATAAAATCCCTGCATATGTTTAATACTCCGCCATTTTTTCATAGTGTTTTGAATATATTGATACCGTTATTATCGGAAAAACTCAAGAAAAGGGTGAGTTTTTTTATGTTTGTATAGTTTTCCTTAGCAAATAATTAAATCTGATTATTTTATTTCAGTTATTTGTTTATGGTCATAATTTAGATGATTTGCAAAAAAATATACCTAAAAAATATTTACCCGCCTATTTAGGTGGTGAAAATGGTACAAAGGAAGAACTTTTAAAGAATTTCGATCAGAAGTGGTTAGAGTATAAGGATTATTTTAAAGAAAATGAAAACTATGGCACCGAAGAACTATTGAGACCTGGCAAACCTATTGATTTTGACAGCATCTATGGTTTAGGTGGTTCATTCCGTAAATTAGATGTGGATTAAAGGAAAGTTTCTAAATTAAACTAAATTTAAGTTTATTTTCAAAATGTTTGAAATGTAGAATGAAAAGTTAATAAAAAATTATAAAAATAACATTCAGTTCTCAGTAAAATATTTCAGAAAAAGCTTTTCATCCTAAGAGAGTAAACAAATCACTCCTATAGAAATCTTTACTCCCTAGAAAAGTAAAAACTTTTGAAGAAATCTTTGTCCTCGTTACTTTACGAAAGAAAATAAGTAAACTGTACTAAAGAGAACTTTACTGCCTAAGCAAGTAAGTTCTACAAAAAAAAGCTTTACGCCCGAAGTTATTAAGCTGTACTAAAGAAAGCTTTACTATGAAAGTAAACTGTGCAAAAGGAAGCTTTACTATTTAAGTTAATAAGCAGTACTAAAGAAAGCTTTACAACGAAAGTAAACTTTACTAAAGAAAGCTTTACTTCCTTGCGGAATAAACTGTAATAAATAAAGCTTTACTCCCTAAGTTAGCAAGCTGTACTAAAGAAAGCTTTATTCCTTAAGAAAATTAACTGTCATAAAGAAAGATTTACTCCCTAAGAGAGTAAATGGTACGAAAGAAAGCTTTACTCTCTAAGAGAGTAAATGGTATGAATGAAAGCTTTACTCCCTAAGGGGATAAACTTTACTAAAGAAAGCTTTACTCTCTAAGAAAATTAACTGTGCTTTACTCCTTAAGAAAGAAAGCTTTACTATTAAAGAAAACTTTATTTAATAAAAGTGTAAACTTTACTAAAGCAAATATTACTTCCCAAGGAAAACCTTGCTCCTTAAGGGAGTAAACATAGGAAAACTTACTCCCTTAAGGTGTAAACTGTGCTAAATAAAGCTTTTCAAACCAAAAAACTTTATTTAATAAAAGTGTAAACTTTACTAAAGCAAATGTTACTTCCCAAGGAAAACCTTACACCTTAAGGAAGTAAACATAGGGAAACTTACTCCCTTAAGGAGTAAACTGTGCTAAATAAAGCTTTTCATAGTAGCTTTTCATGAGCAACTTTACTAATGAAAGTTTTCCTCTCTTTATTTATGATTCATTTTTCATTAATTGTTCGTTGGGTTATTGAAAAGTATTACTTTTTATTAGAACCCAATATATTTTTAATATAAAAGAAAAGATATATAATAACATGTGTCACTTTTGTTTTCATTTAAACATCAAACAGCTTACTTTTGTTTATATAGATCACTAGACAAAATTTTTTACTCATTTATATATGTTTTAACTAATTTAAATATGTAAATATCTGTATAATGAATACTTTTGTCTAATAACTGGTATCTCATTTTATTTTATCTACAACCTTTATGAAATCCACTATATAGTTTTAAATTAAATTACAATAATTAATTTATTTCTACTACAAAACTTGTTCTTGTTATATTATACAATTTTATAGTTCTCCTGGCTTAAAAACAAATCCAAGTAGTAGTTTAAAAACGAACGTCTTAGATACCGTAACAAGAAAACATGTTAAAGATAAAACCTTTATCAGAGGAATTACAAAAAGTAGCAAAAACTGAATTATCAGAAGTACCCAAAAGAATACCCGATGATTTGTTAGCCTTGAAAACTTGGCTAAAACAGCAGCCACATTTAAAGGCCCGTCAAGATGATCAGTTTTTAATACAATACCTGCGTGGTTGTAAGTACAGTTTAGAGAAGGCAAAGATCAAATTGGATCTTTTCTTTACCTTGAAAACAAAATTTCCGGAGTTTTTAAATGTCACCGATGTACATGATCCCATCTTTAGGAAAATGTATAATTATGGGTAAGTTTTAGAAGAAACCAAATTATAACAAATGTTTATTTTTTAACAATTGTGATTTTATATATTTTAGACTTTGCGGCCCTTTACCCAGACCGTTGAACGATAATGAGGCTCGCATTTATTATACCAAATATGATGATGATGTCGCTAAGGGTCTAGTGGATTTCGATGAACTTTATCGTGTTACAAATGCTATGCATGAAATTGTTATTATGGATGATCCTTATGCCTGTATAAATGGTATTATTTATATAATGGATTTGAAAGGCATCACCTTAAATGCGGCCTCAAAATATACCCCAACATTTTTGCGTAAACTTATACAATATTATGAGAAATCTTTACCTTTACGTATTAAGGGTGTTCACTTCATAAATACGCCGGGATTTTTTCATAGTGTTATAAGTATGGTTATGCCATTGTTGTCGGAAAAACTGAGACAAAGGGTGAGTTCAGTTCTAGTTCAATTCTTGTTCCAGTCTAGTTCAGTTCTAGTTCAGTTCTAGTTCAGTAGTTCAGTTCTAGTTCAGTTCTAGTCAGTCTAGTTCAGTTCTAGTTCAGTTCTAGTTCAGTTCTAGTTCAGTTCTAGTTCAGTTCTAGTTCAGTTCTAGTTCAGTTCTAGTTCAGTTCTAGTTCAGTTAGTTCTAGTTCTAGTTCAGTTCTAGTTCAGTTCTAGTTCAGTTCTAGTTCAGTTCTAGTTCAGTTCTAGTTCAGTTCTAGTTCAGTTCTAGTTCAGTTCTAGTTCAGTTCTAGTTCAGTTCTAGTTCAGTTCTAGTTCAGTTCTAGTTCAGTTCTAGTTCAGTTCTAGTTCAGTTCTAGTTCAGTTCTAGTTCAGTTCTAGTTCAGTTCTAGTTCAGTTCTAGTTCAGTTCTAGTTCAGTTCTAGTTCAGTTCTAGTTCAGTTCTAGTTCAGTTCTAGTTCAGTTCTAGTTCAGGTTCTAGTTCAGTTCTAGTTCAGTTCTAGTTCAGTTCTAGTTCAGTTCTAGTTCAGTTCTAGTTCAGTTCTAGTTCAGTTCTAGTTCAGTTCTAGTTCAGTTCTAGTTCAGTTCTAGTTCAGTTTCTAGTTCAGTTCTAGTTCAGTTCTAGTTCAGTTCTAGTTCAGTTCTAGTTCAGTTCTAGTTCAGTTCTAGTTCAGTTCTAGTTCAGCTCTAGTTCAGTTCTAGTTCAGTTCTAGTTCAGTTCTAGTTCAGTTCTAGTTCAGTTCTAGTTTAGTTCTAGTTCAGTTCTAGTTTAGTTCTAGTTCAGTTCTAGTTTTTTACACACCAGCTCTTAATTATATCTTCTCTTTCAGATTTCCGTTAACGGTCAAAACTATGAAAGTTTATATAAAATAGTACCCAAGAAGTACTTGCCCCTTCACTTGGGCGGCGAAAATGGTTCAATGGATGAAATTTTCAAAGAATTCGATAAAAAATGGTTGGAATATGAGAATTATTTTAAGGACAATATCAACTATGGCACCAATGAGAAATTACGACCTGGTAAACCGCTCGATTTTGACAGTATGTTTGGTATGGGTGGCTCGTTCCGGAAATTAGATTTGGATTAAAGAATATACTATATGTTATTCCTGGGGGTTCCAAAGGGGATAATATTGTTTTATTGTAATATAAATTAATAAATATTAGTAAAATAGTTTGGAAAACAATATAATAGTTTAATTTTTCTAGGAATAAGACAGACATTTTCTTTATTTATTTAACAGTTTTTATCAATATTTCTTTAATTTAACAATTGATAACATAGAGTTAATAACTACAAAAACAAAAACAAAAACATCTCATTCAGTACCTTTTAAGACCCCTTGTTCTAGGCAATTTATTAAATTTTGATTTTGTAACTTATGTACTTACAAATTTGATATTTATCAGTTGCAATTTTAACTCCCACATTCAAGGTTCAAAATAATAAAAAAAAATATGTTACAAATAAAATCTTTACCTCCTGAGTTACAAAAAGTGGCAGAAACCGAATTGGGTGAAATGCCCCACAGAATACCAGATGACTTGCAGGCCCTTAAAACTTGGATTGAACAACAGCCACATTTGAAAGCCCGTTTAGAAGACCAGTTTTTAATACAATTTCTGCGTGGCTGCAAGTACAGTTTGGAAAAGGCTAAAAATAAATTGGATCTTTTCTTCACTTTGAAATCAAAATTTCCCGATTTCTTTAATATAACCAATATACATAAAACTGGTTTTAGGAAAATGTATAGCTATGGGTAAATATTAAAAAAAAAACAGCAAAATTTATTTTAATTAAATTATTTAAGTCTGGGTATTCCTTTGCCACGCCCCCTTAACGACACGGGTCCTCGCATCTTTTTTATGAAATTCGAAGGTGATGTAGCCAAAGGTCTGGTAGACTTTGATGAACTTTATCGTCCTACAAATGCTATGCATGAAATTTTAATTATGGATGATCCTTATGCCTGTATAAATGGCATTATATATATTATGGATTTGAGAAATATTACCCTAAATATGGCTGCCAAATATACACCTTCATTTCTGCGTAAAGTTGTACAATTTTATGAAAAATCTTCACCTCTACGTATTAAGGGGGCACACTTGATAAATACTCCGACATTTTTTCACAGTGTTTTGAGTATAGTGATGCCGTTATTTTCCGAGAAACTAAGAGAAAGGGTGAGTTAAGAAAGATCTAAAGCTTTTACTAACTTGAAATAAAACTTTGTGTGAATCATTTAATGGACTTAGTTCTTAGCTTCATTGTAGTCTTTAGTGAATATATTTAGATTAAATTTGATTATTTTTCTTTTCAGATATCAATTAATGGTCAAAATTACGAGAATTTATATAAAATAATACCAAAAGAATATTTCCCCTCACATCTAGGTGGTGAGAATGCTTCAATTGAAGATCTCTTTAAAGACTTTAATCAAAAATGGTCCGAATATGATAATTATTTTAAAGAAAATGAAAACTATGGCACCAATGAACATTTAAGGCCTGGTAAACCTCTCGATTTTGATAGTATGTTTGGTATGGGAGGGTCATTTCGTAAATTGGATGTGGATTAAAATGTATAAAATTGCCAAGATAATTTGTATTACAACTATTATTTGATTTTAATAAAATATCAATTTAATTACATTAGCCCAATTATAACTGTATCCAACGTTAGCTTAATTTGTTAGTGTTATCTTTATTATAAATTATAATTTGAGTTTTAATTCAAATCTATGTCTCCTGGATTTTGATCTTCAATGTTGTTAGATTCAAACTAACTATATTGTAAGCTTTAAAATATGCATTTAATAAAAATGATTACTAAATAATTTATTATCTTAAAAAACTAGTAATTAAGTTTACCCTGCAGTTCTACAGGGAGTAAATATAATCTTAAACAAACTTTCTAGATGAACTCCATATTTACAAGAGTCAATTTACTACTTTCTATATGAAATCCATGTTAAAATAAATAGTCACATGTCCCGAAACTGCAGGAAATGTCACTAGTTCGGCGCTGTCACCCCATACTACAGGGTAATAGTGAACCGAACAGTTGAGTGCTTTTGCGTATATAATAATAAATTTGCAATTAAAGTAGATAAATACTGAATAGTTTATACAATGCACCTAACTGAGAATGATTCCCAACGGAAGTAAGCATTTTAGATTTAGACATAACTAAGATATTTACTTAAGAGCTAAGATAACTGATCATAATCGAAAAGGGCTCTTTGTTCACACTAAATTGTTTTGTTTGAAAAAGATTGGATGGTTTTCTAGACTAGACTATAGTCTACAGTCTAGTATATAGTCTAGTCTATAGTCTAGTCTATAGTCTAGTCTGTAGTCTAGTCTATAGTCTAGTCTATAGTCTAGTCTATAGTCTAGTCTATAGTCTAGTCTATAGTCTAGTCTATAGTCTAGTCTATAGTCTAGTCTATAGTCTAGTCTATAGTCTAGTCTGTAGTCTAGTCTATAGTCTAGTCTATAGTCTAGTCTATAGTCTAGTCTATAGTCTAGTCTATAGTCTAGTCTATAGTCTAGTCTATAGTCTAGTCTATAGTCTAGTCTATAGTCTAGTCTATAGTCTAGTCTATAGTCTAGACTAGAGTCTAGTCTATAGTCTAGTCTAGTCTATAGTCTAGTCTAGTACCTATAGTCTAGTCTATAGTCTAGTACTAGTCTATAGTCCTAGTCTATAGTCTAGTCTAATAGTCTAGTCCCTATAGTCCTAGTCTATAGTCTATCTATAGTCTAGTCTATAGTCTAGTCGATAGTCTAGTCTATAGTCTAGTCATAGTCCTAGTCTATAGTACTAGTCTATAGTCTAGCTATAGTCTAGGCCTATATCTAGATCAAATATAAGTCTAGTCTATAGTCTAGTCTAATAGTCCCTATCTATAGTCTAGTCTATAGTCTAGTCCTATAGTCTAGTCTATAGTCTAGTCTTATAGTCTAGTCTATAGTCAGTCTATAGTCTGTCTATAGTCTAGTCCATAGTCTAGTCTATAGTCTAGTTCTTTAGTCTAGTCTATAGTCCTAGTCTATAGTCTAGTCTATAGTCTAGTCCTATAGTCTAGTCTATAGTCTAGTCTATAGTCTAGTCCTATAGTCTAGTCTCTAGTCTAGTCTATAGTCTAGTCGTAGTCTAGTCTATAGTCTAGTCAGTCTAGGTCTATAGTCTAGTCTATAGTCTAGTCTATAGTCTAGTCTATAGTCTAGTCTATAGTCTAGTCTATAGTCTAGTCTATAGTCTAGTCTATAGTCTAGTCTATAGTCTAGTCTAAGTCTAGTCTATAGTCTAGTCTATAGTCTAGTCTATAGTCTAGTCTATAGTAGTCTATAGTCTAGTCTATAGTCTAGTCTATAGTCTAGTCTATAGTCTAGTCTATAGTCTAGTCTATAGTCTAGTCTATAGTCTAGTCTATAGTCTAGTCTATAGTCTAGTCTATAGTCTAGTCTATAGTCTATCTAGTCTATAGTCTAGTCTATAGTCTAGTCTATAGTCTAGTCTATAGTCTAGTCTATAGTCTAGTCTATAGTCTAGTCTATAGTCTAGTCTATAGTCTAGTCTATAGTCTAGTCTATAGTCTAGTCTATAGTCTAGTCTATAGTCTAGTCTATAGTCTAGTCTATAGTCTAGTCTATAGTCTAGTCTATAGTCTAGTCTATAGTCTAGTCTATAGTCTAGTCTATAGTCTAGTCTATAGTCTAGTCTATAGTCTAGTCTATAGTCTAGTCTAGTCTATAGTCTAGTCTATAGTCTAGTCTATAGTCTAGTCTATAGTCTAGTCTAGTCAATAGTCTAGTCTAGTCTATAGTCTAGTCTAGTCAATAGTCTAGTCTAGTCTATAGTCTAGTCTATAGTCTAGTCTATAGTCTAGTCTATAGTCTAGTCTAGTCTATAGTCTAGTCTATAGTCTAGTCTATAGTCTAGTCTATAGTCTAGTCTATAGTCTAGTCTATAGTCTAGTCTATAGTCTAGTCTATAGTCTAGTCTATAGTCTAGTCTATAGTCTAGTCTATAGTCTAGTCTATAGTCTAGTCTATAGTCTAGTCTATAGTCTAGTCTATAGTCTAGTCTATAGTCTAGTCTATAGTCTAGTCTATAGTCTAGTCTATAGTCTAGTCTATAGTCTAGTCTAGTCTAGTCTATAGTCTATAGTCTAGTCTATAGTCTAGTCTATAGTCTAGTCTATAGTCTAGTCTATAGTGTAGTCTATAGTCTAGTCTATAGTCTAGTCTATAGTCTAGTCTATAGTCTAGTCTTAGTCTAGTCTATAGTCTAGTCTATAGTCTAGTCTATAGTCTAGTCTATAGTCTAGTCTATAGTCTAGTCTATATTAAGTCTAGTCTATCGTCTAGTCTATAGTCTAGTCTATAGTCTAGTCTATAGTCTAGTCTATCGTCTAGTCTATAGTCTAGTCTATAGTCTAGTCTATAGTCTAGTCTATAGTCTAGTCTATAGTCTAGTCTATAGTCTAGTCTATTGTCTAGTATCTAGTTAGTATCTAGTCTAGTCTAGTATCTAGTCTAGTCTATGGTTCTTGGCTGTAGTTTGGTTTATAGTATAGTCTAGAGTCTGTTCTATAGTCTATTCTTAAAACTTAAGTAGTAACCCTCGTATAGCTAAACATATTCAATGTTTTTTTAACACTCTTAAACAACTTTTGAGTATATTTTCCGACTTAGGGCATAGGATAGATAAACAATTATGACTTACCTTCACTCCCCGTCCAGGTGCAAGTTCATAAGTCTGATGATTAAAACGATTAGCTCTAAAACAGCGATTATTGGTATTTGAGTGCAAATTAATTGTAAAATATATAAAATTATTGCAATATTGCAACTTAGAATAAAGGTTTCTTTAACAAAAGGCTGGTGTAAGCAAATCCCCAAAAAAATTATCAATAAAAATATAATATTTTATGATTGATAAATATACGCTACTTATAACTGAAGAATATGTAAAGCGTACTATACCTTTTAAAATAATCTAATCTCTACTAAAAATTCTAAATAAAAAAAATCAAATGCACCCAACAGTTTCCAAAAAGTTTTTATAATTGTCTAAAAATTAAAATTGTTAAAGTGATTACTCGAAACAGACATGTCTAACATCAGACCCCTAACCGAGAAATTACAAGAAATTGCTTGTAAGGAACTAAATGAACAGCCGGAAAGACTACAGCAAGATCTGACAATATTTAAAGAATGGATTGAAAAACAGCCACACTTGAAAGCTAGAACTGATGATCAGTTTTTAATCAGTTTCCTAAGAGGCTGTAAACACAGTTTGGAAAAGGCTAAATTAAAAATCGATCGTTATTATACGTTGAAAACCAAATATCCCGATTTTTATACCATACAAAATATGGAGAAAACAAAAGTTAAGGAATTGGTGGAATTGGGGTAAGTCTTTTATTAGATACAATTTCAAAGTAAAATATTTTAATTTGTTTTTAGTATTGGCTTATCTTTACCCATGCCTTTGAATGGTACTGGTCCTCGTATACTCTACATACGTACCGGCCACTATCCCACCGATAAGTTTTCTTTTGCTGATGTTATGTGTGTTGCTAATGCTCTGCAGGAGTTGTGCATGCGTGACGATGACTATTGTGTGGTGTGTGGTTATGTTCAAATTTTGGACATGTCTGAGTATAGTGCAGCCCATATGCTACAAATGACTCCAACTGTGGTTAAGAAAATGTCTACATTTGCTGAAGATGCTGTGCCTTTGCGTCAAAAGGCCATACATATCATTAATATGCCGTCAAGTTATGAAAAGGTTTTTAATATGCTGAAACCTTTGATGCCGTTGAAACAGCAAGAGAGGGTAAGTTTGTAATCATGGACTAGACTAGACTAAAGACTTGACTATAGACCAGACTACACACTGAACTATAGACTGGACTATAGACTAGACTATAGACAGACAATAGACTAGACTATATACTAGGCTACAAATTAGACTATAGACAAGATTATAGACTAGACTTTAGACTGAACTATAGACTAGACTATATCTATTTTATTCATCTATTTTCCCTCGTTTTCAGATGTTCGCCCACGGTAGCAATTTATCATCTTTATACGAACACATTCCTCAAAAATATTTACCTCAAGAATTGGGTGGAGAAAATGGTTCCATAGAGGAATTAACTAAAGAGATAAAGGAGAATTTCAGCAAACAACAAGATTATTTCCTAGATGATCACAACTACAGAGTAGAAGAAAAACTACGTGTGGACAAGATCATCAATTATGATGATGTCTTTGGTATAGAGGGAACCTTTCGTAAATTAAATGTAGATTAAATAAAAAAAAAACACAAAATTTTTGTAAAAAAAAGGAAACAGTTTATTTTTTAACTTTCGGGGATAACATGCAACTTAGAATAATAAAGAACATTTAAAATCAAGCCACTTATGAGTTCTTTTGGGCCAACTTAACAATAACACTCTTAACTTCGGTATAGTTTTGTAGAGCATATTCACCATTTTCACGGCCATGGCCAGACATTTTATAGCCACCGAAGGGTACTTGAGCGCAGAGGGCATTATAGGTGTTAACCCATACGGTACCAGCTCTAAGGCCTTGTACAATGTAGTTAACCTTATCGATATCCTTGGAGAAGACAGCGGCAGCCAAACCATAATCGGAATTGTTAGCTCTTTCAATAACTTCATCTAATTTCTTGAAACGTATAATTTGTTGGACAGGGCCAAAGATTTCTTCTTTGGCAATGGTCATGTTATCGTTGACATCGGCGAAGACGGTGGGCTCGACGAAATAGCCGGGCAAACCTTGAGGACGATTGCCACCAGCTACCAATTTGGCGCCTTGCTTCTTGCCGGTATCAATTAAGCCCAAAATCTTTTGCATTTGTTCTTCATTAACCTGAGGACCCTGTTCCACATTCAAATCGAAGGGATTGCCTACTGTGCGCTTCTTGGCACGCTCAGCACTGCGTTCAACAAACTCATCGTAGATTTTATCTTCAACAAAGGTACGTGAACCAGCACAACAACATTGACCCATGTTAAAGAATAAACCAAAGTGGGAAGTCTCCACAGCATAATCCATATCAGTATCGGCCAAAACAATATTGGGACTCTTGCCACCCAATTCCAAAGTAACACGTTTCAAATTGGTTTTACCCGAGGCTTGTTGAATCAATTTACCCACCTCAGTGGAGCCGGTGAAAGCCACCTTATCTACATCCAAATGATTGGACAAAGCAGCGCCGGTATCACCAAAACCAGGCAAAACATTGACAACACCCTCGGGGAAGCCAGCTTCCTTAACCAATTGGGCGAAATACAAAGCAGTCAAACTAGTTTGTTCGGCTGGTTTCAAAACAATACAATTGCCAGTGGCCAAAGCGGGTCCCAATTTCCAGGCCATCATTAGAATGGGGAAATTCCAGGGAATGATTTGAGCGCAGACACCTACAGGTTCATGGCGTGTATAGGCCATGAAATCACCATCCATGGGTATGGTTTTACCATGATTCTTATCAGCCCAGCCGGCAAAATAACGCAAATTTTTAATAGCCATGGGCAAGTCAACGTTGAAAGACATGGCATAGGGTTTGCCATTGTCCAAAGTTTCCAAACTCTAAGAACCACAAGAAAACTTTTAAATTTCTCTTTTAAAAACTAGGATATTAAAAACCTACCGCCATATAGACACGATCACGTTCCAATAAATCAGCCAAACGATTTAATAATTCACCTCTACGGGAAGCATCCATACGACGCCAGGGAGAACCTAGTCTGTTTTAGTTGGAGAGAGACATTTAGTTGGGGTTTTCCTTTTTACTTATAGATATTATTTCAACTTACTTAAAAGCATCTCTGGCTGCTTTAACGGCCAAATCAACATCCTCTTTACCGGCACATTGTATCTCAGCTATGGCCTTTTCGGTGGTGGGATTAATGGTCTCAAAAGTTTTACCCGATTTACTTTTGTGCCATTCGTTGTTGATGAAAAGCTTTTAAAAGGATATTTATATTAATTTATTGTTAACAACTTAGTCGTAAATGTTATTCGTTTGAAAGGCTTTGACCTTGAAGCTTTCTCTGACTATTTTTCCATAATTTAGTTTATTGTTTTGATTAATGTTTACTCTTTTCATTTATCTGACTAAAGTCTACTCTCTCGTCTCGACTATAGTCTACTCTATTATCTCCACTATATTCGGTTATTATGCCTCGATTATAGTCTTGTCTTAAGTCTAGTTTAAAGTCTAGTCTATATGCTAGTCTATAAGCAAGTCTACAGGATAGACTATAGTCTAGTCTATATTCTAGCAAAGAAGCTAGTCTAGTCTATAGTCTTGTATATAGTCCAGTCTATAGTCTAGTCTATAGTCTAGTTTATAGTCTAGTCTATAGTCTAGTCTAGTTTATAGTCTAGTCTATAGTCTAGTCTAGTTTATAGTCTAGTCTATAGTCTAGTCTATAGTCTAGTCTATAGTCTAGTCTATAGTCTAGTCTATAGTCTAGTCTATAGTCTAGTCTATAGTCTAGTCTTTAGTCTAGTCTATAGTCTAGTCTATAGTCTAGTCTATAGTCTAGTCTATAGTCTAGTCTTTAGTCTAGTCTATAGTCTAGTCTATAGTCTAGTCTATAGTCTAGTCTAAAGTCTAGTCTATAGTCTAGTCTATAGTCTAGTCTATAGTCTAGTCTATAGTCTAGTCTATAGTCTAGTCTATAGTCTAGTCTATAGTCTAGTCTATAGTCTAGTCTTTAGTCTAGTCTATAGTCTAGTCTATAGTCTAGTCTATAGTCTAGTCTATAGTCTAGTCTTTAGTCTAGTCTATAGTCTAGTCTATAGTCTAGTCTATAGTCTAGTCTAAAGTCTAGTCTATAGTCTAGTCTATAGTCTAGTCTATAGTCTAGTCTATAGTCTAGTCTATAGTCTAGTCTATAGTCTAGTCTAGTCTAGTCTATAGTCTAGTCTATAGTCTAGTCTATAGTCTAGTCTATAGTCTAGTCTATAGTCTAGTCTATAGTCTAGTCTATAGTCTAGTCTATAGTCTAGTCTATAGTCTAGTCTATAGTCTAGTCTATAGTCTAGTCTATAGTCTAGTCTATAGTCTAGTCTATAGTCTAGTCTATAGTCTAATCTATAGTCTAGTCTATAGTCTAGTCTATAGTCTAGTCTAAAGTCTAGTCTATAGTCTAGTCTATAGTCTAGTCTATAGTCTAGTCTATAGTCTAATCTATAGTCTAGTCTATAGTCTAGTCTATAGTCTAGTCTATAGTTAGTCTATAGTCTAGTCTATAGTCTAGTCTATAGTCTAGTCTATAGTCTAGTCTATAGTCTAGTCTATAGTCTAGTCTATAGTCTAATCTATAGTCTAGTCTATAGTCTAGTCTATAGTCTAGTCTATAGTCTAGTCTATAGTCTAGTCTATAGTCTAATCTATAGTCTAGTCTATAGTCTAGTCTATAGTCTAGTCTATAGTCTAGTCTATAGTCTAGTCTATAGTCTAGTCTATAGTCTAGTCTATAGTCTAGTCTATAGTCTAGTCTATAGTCTAGTCTATAGTCTAGTCTATAGTCTAGTCTATAGTCTAGTCTATAGTCTAGTCTATAGTCTAGTCTATAGTCTAGTCTATGTCTAGTCTATAGTCTAGTCTATAGTCTAGTTAGTCTATAGTCTAGTCTATAGTCTAGTCTATAGTCTAGTCTATAGTCTAGTCTATAGTCTAGTCTATAGTCTAGTCTATAGTCTAGTCTATAGTCTAGTCTATAGTCTAGTCCATAGTCTAGTCTATAGTCTAGTCTATAGTCTAGTCTATAGTCTAGTCTATAGTCTAGTTTATAGTCTAGTCTATAGTCTAGTCTGCACTCTAGTCTATAGTCTAGTCTATAGCCTAGTCTATAGTCTAGTCTATAGTCTAGTCTATAGTCTAGTCTATAGTCTAGTCTATAGTCTATAGTCTAGTCTATAGTCTAGTCTATAGTCTAGTCTATAGTCTAGTCTATAGTCTAGTCTATAGTCTAGTCTATAGTCTAGTCTATAGTCTAGTCTATACTCTAGCCTATAGTCTAGTCTATAGTCTAGTCTATAGTCTAGCATATAGTTTATTGCTTAGTCAATAGTTTCGTCCCTAGCCTAGGATATTTTAAAAAGTATTTAAACTTGTTTTAACTAACAATGGTTAGGTTTTACTTAAACCATTTTTAAGTTAACTATACTCAAAGTTAAACTGTAATTTTAACCTAACACCCCAAAACTAGACTTATTATATTGTGCATTTTTGCCTTATAAAGATAAGCTTGAAAATCTAAATAAACAAATAATATTTGCGTATTCCTATAAATAAATATAAACAATATTAAAATACATTACAGTGCATTTTTTAACTTAAAGCTTTAAAAGATCTTTTGAATTGATTAGCTTGAAAAATAGATGGGTAAACAATAAATTACGTTCCAGCTAGTGACAACACCCGGCATATAATATACATAATTTTAAATTGAAACAACAAAATTGTTGATAAACAAAAACAAACAACTATTATCTGTCTTTCACTCACAACCCCAGAAAAGCTGATAAAGTGAAATAACTGATACAAATTATGCGCAACGCACGCCGGTTTTTTAGATTTTTTCGATATTCTATTCTTTCCCAAACAATTAAAACATTTTGTTATTGCCGGCTTTTTTTTGCACCGCAAACAAAACAACAACAAAGAACCTAAATTTTATTTGGCAAATCATTGTATCAGCAAACTATGGAATGATTTTAAAATACTTCAAGGTCATAGACAAAAGCTGGCTCAACTTTTCAAATTAAGTACTTTTTTGTCTGCTTCATAAACATTTTATGAATGCTAATTAATATGTATATTTTATTGTACTTTAACAATTATACAACTTACCCCAGTATAAAGAATTTCTGGATTTGTTTTTGGCTCTGGCATAGAGGCAAAGTTTGCGGCAGCCACATTGTTTGCCAATACTCTAGCAGAATTTTTTAAAACACTTGTGTTTTTCAATAAACGCAACATATTTTATTTTATTTAATTAAATAACTTTTTAAAAATTAAATAGAAAATTTGCAAACGATTTGCCAAACGTCTGGCGAATAACTAGAATTATTTTCGGTTTCCACTCAAAATGAAGAATGTCACAAAAAGAAAGAAATTAAAACAGATGTTGTGAAGTAGAAACATTTTGACAGTCATTGAAAAAGCTTTTGGTACACAGAAAAGCTTTATTTAAATTTCACAATAAAAGAACCGTTAAATTTAAAATAGAAATAAACAAACTATGTATAAAAAAAAAAAAGAATTTTGGGGAAAAGTTTGAATTTTTGAGAAAATAGTATTGATGTCAAAAATTTAATTTTTAGTGAAAAATTAGATTTTTAGTGAAAAATCTAATGTTTAGTGAAAAATCTAATGTTTAGTGAAATATCTAATTTTTAGTAAAAAGTCAAATTTTTAGTGATAAATCTGATTCTTAATGAAAATTCAGATTTTTAGTAAAAATTCCTATTTTTAGTGAAAATTCTTATTTTGAGTGAAAATTCTGGTCTATAGTCTAGTCTATAGTCTAGTCTATAGTCTAGTCTATAGTCTAGTCTATAGTCTAGTCTATAGTCTAGTCTATAGTCTAGTCTATAGTCTATAGTCTAGTCTATAGTCTAGTCTATAGTCTAGTCTATAGTCTAGTCTATAGTCTAGTCTATAGTCTAGTCTATAGTCTAGTCTATAGTCTAGTCTATAGTCTAGTCTATAGTCTAGTCTATAGTCTAGTCTATAGTCTAGTCTATAGTCTAGTCTATAGTCTAGTCTATAGTCTAGTCTATAGTCTAGTCTATAGTCTAGTCTATAGTCTAGTCTATAGTCTAGTCTATAGTCTAGTCTATAGTCTAGTCTATAGTCTAGTCTATAGTCTAGTCTATAGTCTAGTCTATAGTCTAGTCTATAGTCTAGTCTATAGTCTAGTCTATAGTCTAGTCTATAGTCTAGTCTATAGTCTAGTCTATAGTCTAGTCTATAGTCTAGTCTATAGTCTAGTCTATAGTCTAGTCTATAGTCTAGTCTATAGTCTAGTCTATAGTCTAGTCTATAGTCTAGTCTATAGTCTAGTCTATAGTCTAGTCTATAGTCTAGTCTATAGTCTAGTCTATAGTCTAGTCTATAGTCTAGTCTATAGTCTAGTCTATAGTCTAGTCTATAGTCTAGTCTATAGTCTAGTCTATAGTCTAGTCTATAGTCTAGTCTATAGTCTAGTCTATAGTCTAGTCTAGTCTAGTCTAGTCTACAGTCTAGTCTATAGTCTAGTCTATAGTCTAGTCTACAGTCTAGTCTATAGTCTAGTCTACAGTCTAGTCTATAGTCTAGTCTATAGTCTAGTCTACAGTCTAGTCTATAGTCTAGTCTATAGTCTAGTCTATAGTCTAGTCTATAGTCTAGTCTATAGTCTAGTCTATAGTCTAGTCTATAGTCTAGTCTATAGACTAGTCTATAGTCTAGTCTATAGTCTAGTCTATAGTCTAGTCTATAGTCTAGTCTATAGTCTAGTCTATAGTCTAGTCTATAGTCTAGTCTATAGTCTAGTCTATAGTCTAGTCTATAGTCTAGTCTATAGTCTAGTCTATAGTCTAGTCTATAGTCTAGTCTATAGTCTAGTCTATAGTCTAGTCTATAGTCTAGTCTATAGTCTAGTCTATAGTCCAGAAAATATTATGTAAGGCAAAAAATATAAATTTATAAACATTCTTGGTTAATTTTTTATTAAAATATTAACTTAATCTACATTTAATTTCCTAAATGAACCCTCCATACCAAATAAACTTTCAAAATCTATAGGTTTACCCGGTCTTAAGCTTTCATCGGTGCCATATTTGGTTTCACTCTCCCTGAAATATTCTCTATACTCCATAAATTTCTTCTCAAAATCGGCTATCAGTTCAGGTATCGAACCATTTTCACCGCCATATTCTTTGGGCAGATATTTTAACGGTATTATTTCATACATTTTCTCATAATTCGTACCGTAGATAACACTCTGAAATTATAATTTACAGTTATTGCGAAGCCTTTTAATATTAAGTCAAAAAAAACTCACTCTCTTATTTTGTTTTTCCGACATCATGGGCTTTACCAGATTATAAAAACTCTCAAATATAGAGGGAGCATTTATGGCTATAAAATGTTTTGGCCTTAAGGGTACCGCTTCCTCCGAAAATACGGTAAACTTTTTCATAAGACTGAAATTCATTTGGAAAAAATGCTCTTTAGTCCAATTGGTCAAATCCATTATGTGGCTATAACCACTAACAATAGTGTTGTCATCTTCCAATAAAGAAATTTCACACCCCGCTTGATAGACACGCATAATTTCCATGAAATCATATTCACTGGGACTATAGGCGCCACTGCGCATTAACATTATACGAGGACCGTTTTCATTAAGCGGTGTGGGTAAGGCTACAGCTACACCTAATCTGATATATTCCTTTATTTTCTCATCATCCATACCTTTAAGGGTGAAGAGTTCTGGATATTTGGTGCGCAAAGTATAGAATTTATCAATTTTCGATTTGGCCTTTTCCAAACTATATTTACAGCCTCTCAAAAATGCCACCAAAAACTGATCGTCTGTGCGTGCCCGTAAATGGGGTTGTTGTTGTATCCATGTCCGTAAAGCCTCAATATCGGCATCAATACGTGTGGGATCTTCGTTAAGTTCTTCGATGGCTATTTTTTGTAATGCCGGCGGTAAAGGTCTTATTTTGGACATTGTTCTGTTTGTTTTCCGATTTAAGCTCTTTAACTACAATTTATCGTTTGCTGGTGGGGTTTAAACTTTATTTTGTTTTAACCGTTGTATAGGTAAAACGTGAATATTGATAAAGAATTTTACTGTTTAAAACCAATCGCTTTATTTGATATGATATTAATATAATATTGATAAGATTATTTAGAAAAACAAAAACTAACTAAAATTTCATTTTATACCTATTAAATAAATTTTTATCTAAACAACTTTTAAAAGGTGACTTGCAGACTTTTTGTTTGTTGGGACTTTCGCAAATTTTAGCTTTAGATTTAAAAGTTTGTTTAAATCGTTTTATAGAAATTGAATAAAAACTGTTTGTGGATTTATCAATAAGAGTCGCATTTTAGCAATGTTTTTATAGAAATGATGAACATTTTAATTGAATTAATTAAATAACAAAATCTTTAATTAATACTTTTCAAAGACAAACAGCTTAAACACCTTACTTAGTAATAAGATTGAAACCATTACTCGGTAATGAACTTTTGGTAAATCTTATATGTATATAAAATTTGTGAACACGTTTAGTATAATAAATCTTGATTTCAAACCTTTTTGAAAGAGTTTATCTTTCCCAATTCCAGTAAAATCTGTAGAACCTTTTTGCAGCTCCTTCAAAAGTCTCTGCAAACAAATTTTTACTAATATTTGTTTAACAATTACCTTATCAATACTTTTATTTGTTTTTATAGACATCTATTTATTTGTGGGTATAAAATTGTTTATACCGATTTATTATCAAATAATTCAGCCTTCAGCGAAACATCTAAACAATGGTTATTAACATTTTGCTAAAAGTTGTCAAAACGTAAAGATATCAAAAACAAAAGACCTTTAAACCAACATGCCTAATATACGTCCTTTACCACCTTGCCTGCAAAAAGTGGCCATTGAGGAATTAAATGAAGATCCTAGTCGTATTGAAGCCGATTTGCAGACCTTAAAAACTTGGATAGAACAACAGCCCCATTTGAAGGCACGCACGGATGATCAATTTCTAGTGGCCTTTCTGCGTGGCTGTAAATATAGTTTGGAGAAGACTAAATCGAAAATTGATAAATACTATATGCTAAGATCCAAATATCCCGAAATGTTTGCCTTAAGAGATGTGGATGAAGTCAAAATCAGAGAAATTCTTAAATTGGGGTAACATACTTAACTAATAACTTTAACTTTAAACTTAAATTCTAATTTTTTTGCAACAACAGTTTTGGTGTAGTATTACCCACACCCTTAAATGAAACTGGACCCAGAATAATGCTAGTGCGTAATGGTATTTATGATCCCAATAAATATGATTTTATGGATATAATGCGTGTGGGTCAGGCTTTTAATGAAATACTTATGTGGGAAGATGACTATGCCATTGTTAATGGTTTTGTGCATATAGCCGATTTAAAAGATTGGACTAAAGAACATTTCTTTCAAGCGACACCCAGCGCAATGAAAAAGATCACGGTATATTCTGAGGAAGCCATGCCTTTAAGGCCCAAAGCATCACACGTTATAAATGCTCCTTCCATCTTTGAATCCTTATTTAATATATTTAAACCCATGATGTCGGAGAAACAACTGAATAGAGTAAGTTTTATATACAATAATATTTATCTATTTTTCCTTATACATTTCTTTACAGATGACCATTTATGGTTCGAATATTGAAAAAATGTATGAAAAGATCCCTTTGAAATATTTGCCAAAAGAATATGGTGGTGAAAATGGTTCAATACCGGAAATTCTAGCCGAATGGGAACAGAAATTTTTATCCTATAGAGATTATTTCAAAGAGGATGCTAAATATGGCACAGATGAACAATTAAGACCGGGTAAACCTATTGATTTCGACAATCTATTTGGTATGGAGGGTTCGTTTAGGAAATTAAATGTGGACTGAATAAAATTTGGAATTGAAAATTGCTTAAAGAATCGTTTTATTTTAACCAAATATACAGAAAAGAGTATCGACGAGAATATTTACGATATTATCGAGACAAGAGACGGTTCAGTTCTAGTTCAGTTTTAGTTCAGTTCTAGTTCAGTTCTAGTTCAGTTCTAGTTCATTCTAGTTCAGTTCTAGTTCAGTTCTAGTTCAGTTCTAGTTCAGTTTTAGTTCAGTTCTAGTTCAGTTCTAGTTCAGTTCTAGTTCAGTTCTTGTTCAGTTCTAGTTCAGTTCTAGTTCAGTTCTAGTTCAGTTCTAGTTCAGTTCTAGTCAGTTCTAGTTCAGTTCTAGTTCAGTTCTAGTTCAGTTCTAGTTCAGTTCTAGTTCAGTTCTAGTTCAGTTCTAGTTCAGTTCTAGTTCAGTTCTAGTTCAGTTCTAGTTCAGTTCTATTTCAGTTCTAGTTCAGTTCTAGTTCAGTTCTAGTTCAGTTCTAGTTCAGTTCTATTTCAGTTCTATTTCAGTTCTAGTTCAGTTCTAGTTCAGTTCTAGTTCAGTTCTAGTTCTAGTTCTAGTTCAGTTCTAGCTCATTCTAGTTCAGTTCTAGTTCAGTTCTAGTTCAGTTCTAGTTCAGTTCTAGTTCAGTTTCTAGTTCAGTTTCTAGTTCTAGTTCAGTTCTAGTTCAGCTCTAGTTCTAGTTCTAGTTCAGTTCTAGTTCAGTTCTAGTTCTGTTCTAGGTTCAGGTCTAGTTCAGTTCCTGTTCAAGTTTTCTAGTTCAAGTTCTAGTTCTGTTCTAGTTCAGTTCTAGTTCAGTTCTAGTTCAGTTCTAGTTCAGTTCTAGTTCAGTTCTAGTTCAGTTCTAGTTTCAGTTTCTAGTTCAAGTTCTAGTTCAGTTCTAGTTCAGGTTCTAGTTCAAGTTCTATGTTCAGTTCCCTAGTTCAGTTCTATTCAAAGTTATAGTTCAGTTCTAGTTCATTTCCGAGTTCAGTTCTAGTTCAGTTCTAGTTCAGTTCTAGTTCAGTTCTAGTTCAGTTCTAGTTCAGTTCTAGTTCAAGTTCTAGTTCAAGTTCTAGTTCAGTTCTAGTTCAGTGCCTAGTTCATGTCTAGTTCAGTGTTCTAGTTCAGTTCCTAGTTCAGTTCTAGTTCAGTGTTCTAGTTCAGGTTCTGAGTTCAGTTCTAGTTCAGTTCAGTTCTATTTCAGTTCTAGTTCATTCTAGTTCAGTTCTAGTTCAGTTCTAGTTCAGTTCCTAGTTCAGTTTCTAGGTGCAGTTCTAAGGTCAGTTCTAGTTCATTCTAGTCAGTTCTAGTTCAGTTCTAGTTCAGTTCTAGTTCAGTTCTAGTTCAGTTCCTAGTTCAGTTCCTAGTTCAGGTTCCTAGTTCAGTTCTAGTTCAGTTTCTGTTCAGTTCTAGTCAGTTCGAGTTCAGTTCTAGTTCAGTTCTAGTTCAGTTCTAGTTCAGTTCTAGTTCGAGTTCTCAGTTCAGTTCTAGTTCAGTTCTAGTTCAGTTCTGTCAGTTCAGTTCCGTTCTTAGTTCAGTCTAGTTCAGTGCTAGTTCCAGTTCTAGTTCAGTTTCTAGTTCAGTCTAGTTCAGTTCTAGTTCAGTTCTAGTTCAGTTCTAGTTCAGTTCTAGTTCATTCTAGTTCAGTTCTAGTTCAGTTCTAGTTCAGTTCTAGTTCAGTTCTAGTTCGTTCTAGTTCAGTTCTAGTTCAGTTTCTAGTTCAGTTTCTAGTTCAGTTCTAGTTCAGTTCTAGTTCAGTCTAGTTCAGTTCTAGTTCCTAGTTCAGTTCTAGTTCAGTTCTAGTTCAGTTCTAGTTCAGTTCTAGTTCTAGTTCAGTTCTAGTTCAGTTCTAGTTCAGTTCTAGTTCAGTTCTAGTTCAGTTCTAGTTCTAGTTCAGTTCTAGTTCAGTTCTAGTTCAGTTCTAGTTCAGTTCGTTCAGTTCTAGTTCAGTTCTAGTTCAGTTCTAGTTCAGTTCTAGTTCAGTTCTAGTTCAGTTCTAGTTCAGTTCTAGTTCAGTTCTAGTTCAGTTCTAGTTCAGTTCTAGTTCAGTTCTAGTTCTTTCTAGTTCAGTTCTAGTTCAGTTCTAGTTCAGTTCTAGTTCAGTTCTAGTTCAGTTCTAGTTCAGTTCTAGTTCAGTTCTAGTTCAGTTCTAGTTCATTCTAGTTCAGTTCTAGTTCAGTTCTAGTTCAGTTTAGTTCAGTTCTAGTTCAGTTCTAGTTCTAGTTCAGTTCTAGTTCAGTTCTAGTTCAGTTCTAGTTCAGTTCTAGTTCAGTTCTAGTTCAGTTCTAGTTCAGTTCTAGTTCAGTTCTAGTTCAGTTCTAGTTCAGTTCTAGTTCAGTTCTAGTTCAGTTCTAGTTCAGTTCTCTAGTTCAGTTCTAGTTCAGTTCTAGTTCAGTTCTAGTTCAGTTCTAGTTCAGTTCTAGTTCAGTTCTAGTTCAGTTCTAGTTCAGTTCTAGTTCAGTTCTAGTTCAGTTCTAGTTCAGTTCTAGTTCAGTTCTAGTTCAGTTCTAGTTCAGTTCTAGTTCAGTTCTAGTTCAGTTCTAGTTCAGTTCTAGTTCAGTTCTAGTTCAGTTCTAGTTCAGTTCTAGTTCAGTTCTAGTTCAGTTCTAGTTCAGTTCTAGTTCAGTTCTAGTTCAGTTCTAGTTCAGTTCTAGTTCAGTTTCTAGTTCAGTTCTAGTTCAGTTCTAGTTCAGTTCTAGTTCAGTTCCGTTCTAATTTAACTAGAACTGAAGTACTTTTAAAATTGCCTCTTTTCTTCCCCCAGTGAGCAACATTACATACAAAGTTACCCAACTTCTTAACGCTAGTTTCAAAAATATGGCAACATTCTTTCATAACAGCGGTTAAACAAATATAATTTAAAACTTAATTTTGTTAAACAAACGTCACTAACTGATTCAACAAAAGTAAAAATATTATTGCTAAAATCTGAATTAAGTTATGACAATAGTAAAATTGTTATCTATTTAAGAATTTTTACAAATTTCACTAGTAAAATAGTAGATTGCCGTACATCCAGTTCTCCAGAAATTTAAATTTGTGGCAACTACAACAAATAAAATCCCCCTAAAAATATTATCTAATCAAT